GGGAGTGTGGAGCTAGGCTCTGGGATTCTCAAACCATGTCCCCCAGACCCCAGGGTCCTAAGGCAGAGAGGCTCTGCCCTGCTCTTGAGGTGAGACCACTGTTCTACCCTGTCTTCCAGAGGCATGGAAATCCCAGCCATATCAGCACATCAGGGTTGCGGGTACCCCCCTTCTCTCCTGCCTCCATCCTGGAGCCCAGAGGTGGCAGGTGGATGCAGCCCCCCTGGGGCCTGGAAGCCTGGGTGCTGGGTTGGGGGGTCTCCAGAGCACAGGCTGCTGAGCCGTGTGGCCTCAGCACTGATGGGCCTTTCAGAGCTGGGGCCCGACCCTGTCTGAGCAGAAAGGGAACACAGAGCCCAGCCCAGGGAGCAGGTTGTCAGATGGACAGCATCTCGCCTGTCGGATCATCGCTCAGACCACCAAGGCCTGGAGGACGGGCTCCCTCCGTGCGACAGCTTTTCCTCCTGGTGGTGTGTTTGGTAGAAAGCACCTGCACCCTGTTCTGCTTTCTCCATTCCCCTGGACATCTGGGGTGCCAGCAAGGTGACTCAGAGCGCATGGGGATCAGAGACCTTAGTCCCCTCCCTGCTAGGCAGGCTTCCTGCTCCCCTGCTGCCTTCCCTCGTCAGGGGCTGGCTTCCTCATGGGCAGCCCATGCTATTTTCAGACAATTGTTGAAAGGCGCCTCTCCGGGTGTCCGCTCGCTGGCCAGTGTCTGCACAGCAGCGCCTCAGGTATCTACTCCCAGAAGATGGCTTCAGGCCCAGGCTGCTGGGGCACCAGTCTTTCTGGGCCCGGTGATGAGACGTCTCTCCTGCCACTACCAGCCCAGTCACCTAGTGGCACCGTGTCCAGATTCCAGTGCTGAATGCTCTGTGAGGGATGTTCACTGGCAGAGGGGGTTCCCCAGACCTGCACTTAAGCACCAGGGTGTCACCAGCTCCCCCCTCAGGACATAGGCTCCTGAGTCCTTCTAACGATGGACTCTCGGCTTTGGGACTCAGTTGCAGGGCTGACATGGCTTTCAGCAAGAGTGAAGCAGCTTCTAAATTTAGTGACAGGGCAGCTGGGATGTGCCAGGCCCTGCAGGGTGCCCTGTGGCCACTGCGTGGAGCACGTACATCACATCACACTGCCCCCACCATGAGTGTGGGGAGGTGCCAGGCCTGGCTGGGGATGCTGGACCCGGGCAGGGAGACCTGGACCCCAGGGAAAAACCACCCACTGTGATCCCAGCTTGGGGCCCAAGCCACATGGACACAGAGGACCTTAGACCACGCACAGCGATGGGCCTGCTCTCCTCTGTGTCCCCTCGGGGGCTAGGCTGGGCCAGGCCCTGCTCACCTCTGTCCCCACATGTACGCCCCCCACCCAGCTCCTGGCATTGGTCTCTGCTGCAGGGACCTCCCTCCTTCCCTCCCACCGTGGTGCCACAGGGGGCCCAGGGGGTGCTCATTCACCGTGGTCACTGGGTCAGCGCCTGGGGGGAAGGCTCTCACTGTGGCTCTGAGGCCACCAAAGATGACTTGGGGTTGGAGGCCTGGGCTTGCCCACCTGCTTGCTCATCTCTCCAGCTTATAACTATGGGCACTTCCCTGTCTGGGACCTTCCCCCAAGCCAGGCTGTCCACCCGTCCAGCCCAAGCTTGCTGAGTGTGGCATGAGGCCTGGATGCAGCAGAGGTGCTGGGAACCTATGTCAGGCAGGGAGGCAGGCCACTCGGGCAAGTGACAGGTCCTCGTGGGTGACCTCCTGAAGATGCCAGCCAGGTTCCGTGGGGGCTAGGCCTGGTCACAGGCAAGGAGCACGTGGAGCAAAGGCAAATAAAGGGGAGGGGCACAGGGTCCTGGGTCCCTGACAGGCAGCCTCACGAGAGGTCCTGGGACAAGAGCCTGGCTCAGCTTCCCAGGGAGAAGGCTGAGCTGCAGGACTGGTCCCCAGGGGGGCGGGCAGGTCGCACTGGAGTTGCAAGGGAAAGGTGGGCAGGTTGCGCAGACCCTGCGGGCCTCAGGATAGGACTGCATGGCCTCCATGGGAACCCTCTGCATGGGCCTTACGTGGATCTCAAGATGAGGTCATCCTGGGTGACTGGAATCCACCGACAAGCAAGCAAGGAGGTAGATAGATGGATGGGCTGTGAGGAGGGACAGCAGGAAGGCAGCCACACAACCAGGGGCACCAGCAGTGCCCAGCCGGCAGGGACAAGGATGCATCTCCTGCAGCCTTTGGAGGGAGCATGGGCCTGCTGACCCCTTCGGACTGGGAGGGCAGCCCTTGTTGGCTGGTGACATTTGTTAAGCGTTCACGGAGCTGCACAGAGGTCTCCAGGAGGGCTGAGGGCCTGCATGGAATGCGGATTCCTGGGCCTGCTGACCATGGATTTTAAAATCAGCCCTGCTGCCTACCCCACATCCTTGAGAGCACTTATTGTCTGGCTGAATTGGGTGACGTGGTCACTTTTCCCCTCTTGAGTCCATCAGAAAATATTCTCTGGACCCCTATTCTGGGCCTTCCCTGAGGACCTGGACATGAGCTCTCCCTGATGCCCAAGAGCTCACACCCGAGGGAGCCCAGCCCTGGGGTCCCAGGACCCCCAGCGGGCAGGGGCTGAAAGGGACTGGGGGAACAAGGGATGCCTTCCAGGAGTCCTGCCCTTTGGCACACCGGGCTGCAGGCAGGCATAGCCTGAGCTCTTGGCTGAGTCTCGGTGGCTGGGTGATTGCAAGGGCACCTGCTCCAAGGCCCCTGGTCAGCTCTGCCCCATGAGGGTCATGCCTGGCACCCAGGAGCCTAGGAATGAGGTCTGCATGCCTCCTCCCAGGCCTCAAAGCAGATGAGCGTGCACTGCGACAGGCGCAGAATGGCAGGGGTAGACAGGCTCTTGGCTCCGGCCGCAGGGACAGGCCCAGACAGGGCTCAGATGCAGACAGGGCTCCCCCGGGTCTGCGGGCTAGGTGCTGGCAGGTTCCGTGTCTGCTGAGCCCCCAGTTACTAGCTTACAGACGGGGGTCTTGCTGTGCCCCACGTGGTACGGAGCCAGAGGGGAGGGGACAAGGAGAGGAGAGCACGCTCCTGCCTCCTCCTATGGAGCACCAACCCCAGCATGAAGGCTCCACCCTCATAACCTAACCCCTCCCAAGGCCCCCAGCCCCATCCCCTGGGTCAGGCGCCCACGTGGGCAGGCGCACTCCTCAGTCACTGCAGGGCACCCTGATCCCCTCTCTCCATCCACCCACTGGGCTGCAGGCCCTCCTGCCCTCATCCCTGCTGCCCCAAGGACTGGCCTCATCACTCCACAGGGCCCCACAGGCTAGTGGCTGGAGCTCTTCCCCGGCCTCCGTTTGCCTGACTGACATCTGATTGCAGCATGCTGCCAGCCTACTCCTGCAGGAGCTGCGGCTGAGCCTTGGTCTGGTGGGGGACCCCAGCTTTGAGGCTGTTGCTGACACACTTGTGCCTGTGCAGGCCCCTGCCCTGGACTTGAGATGCCACCTGCTGGCAGCAGGTACTGGTCAGCTTCCTGGGGCTCTGGTTCCGAGCAACAGAAATGACCACAGCAAAGAGCAGCCACTGTGGAGTCTAGTGGGTGGGGGTTTTCTGATTTAAATCCTTACACTGAACCCCCCAAGGTGGCCCCACCCGCCACAACAGGGGCACGGCTCTGAGTGAGGCCCTGTGCCTGTGATGAAGGGGCTCCCTCCTGCCCACCTGTCCTACCAGTAGCTGCTCACAGAGGGACCCCAGATGGGGAGCTGCCCAGCCCCTCTCAGCCAGTGAGTCCCCTGCTCTGTCTGCCAAGACAGTTTCCTGGGTCCCAGAACATGATCATCAGGATGGGATACCTCCCATCACTTGGGGCAGGTTCGTGGATTTGCCCACGGCCAGCCTGCATGCACAGCGGGTCTAGGGCATCCCCATGGCCATGTTTTGTAGGTTTCCAGAACAGCATAAAACCTAAATGTGATTTATTCCTACCAGGAGGTTTAAAACATTTTAACAGTAAGGTATTAACAAAGGGCCACGTGGTAGAAGCTGCTCAGGCTGAGAGTGGGTGGTGGGAATTGGTAAGGGCCTGGCTATACCTGTTTGAGCTTTTTAAACTTACCAGTAAGATTAAGACAAAGACATAACTGGCTTAGGCGACGTCCTGGAAAGAATGTGAACCCTCTAGTACTCAGCCAATGAGGAACCAGGGGAGGGACTCGCGCACTACCAGATAAATTATTGGCGCCAAACTCTCCAGGTGTGTCTGCTCATCAGACACCCGGTCTTGCAAGACCGTCGTTAAAGCCTCGCTCCGCTGTTCCCTTTGTCTCCGTGTCCACTTACAGAATTTGGACCAGTGAGTGTGTTTCTCACACACCCGAGCCCCACTCCCTCCTTCTCCTTTAAAACTCGGCCCCCCCCTTTCGGGACTGTACTCGGCCCTGGAAAACCTGTGTGGCCCGGCTCCAGCAAGGCTCCTCGCGTACCTGTGACTGCTGCCCATTGGAGCACCTGGCCTGTGAAGCATGCTACGTCCTTGCATGCAGACCTGTCCCTTCATGCAGGGCCCGCCCCGCCCAACCCGGCCTGAAAGCGTGGGGCGGTGGGCCGGGGTGAGGGGGTGGGGTGGGGCGCCGAGGGGGACTCCTCCTGCTCCTGCCGGCCTCTGGCTCCCTCCTAGCTCCCTCCACGGGGACCCCAGGACCTGCCCTTCCACAGGTAAGAGGGAGAGCAGGACTCTGAGGGCCCCGCACATGTGGATCAGACCCTCACACCACCCTTCCCAGCTGGTGTCCTTGGGCACGTCACTAGGAAACGTCGGCCTCATCTGCTGGACAGGGATGGCAGCCCACCTGTGCGGCGGTTTTATAACAAGAGCCATCGGCGGTTGCGCCTCACAGCCAGAGGGCGCTGCAGGCATCGAACAGGCGCCGCGGGCCCCTCTCGCCTGCTCCACCGCCTCCTCGTTTTCCTTCCGGTTGTTCCGGAAGTCGGGGCTCCCAGGGCGGTGAGTTTGGCTTCTGGTTCCGGGGCGGCAGTGCGGCGGCGGTACGCTGTTGCGAGCGGCGGGCGGTGAGAGGGCCGCGGTCGGGCGGCACCACGCTTCACCTGCGGACCTGAGTAGGGGCTCACGCGGCCGCCGGTAGTCGCTCCGCCCTCTTGTCCTGGGCCCGTTCGCCCATTTCCCCCACGGTCGGGGCAAATGAATGAGCTTGCGAGGTGACGACGCGGCCCCGGCCCTTCTCAGTGACACCTGCGCAGCGCGGAGCAGCGGGGATGAACCGGGCCAAGCCGGCCGCCGTGCGCAGGCCCAGCGCCACTGCCAAGCCTTCAGGTGCGCGCCGCCCCCTGGGTCCCAGGCGACTCTGCGGGTACTCGGCTGCTGCTTGCGGGACGCTGCCTGCTCGTTTCGGACTGTGCATCCGAGGCAGCGGCAAGTAGCTGAAGGGGCCGGGCCAGGAGGCAAAGGGCCAGAGACCAGGGGCTGCCTGGCCTCAGGTCCGGCCTGGCCCTCTTCGCCGTGTGGCCGTGGCATGTTCCTTCCCTGCGCTGTGCGTCGTCTTCCTCGTCTGTAAAACTGGAGGAATAATGCTCTTCTCAGGAACTTGTTGAGGATTAAGTGAGCCAACACTTACACCTTAGAAGCGCCTGGTTTGTAGTAAGCACCGTGTGACTGTCAGCCGTGGATGCCGGCATCCTTCCAGTCCGACCCCCGCCCCACCCGTGGGCATGCTGGGTGACTTTGTTTTTTGCCTCCCTGACCTTTGTTGAATCCAACAGTGAGAGGCTGGAGTCAGTCTTTGACATCTTTCCACCCAGGTCGCGTGTAAAGGTCCACATTTCCCATCTCCCTCCTCTGCAGGGCACCCTCCACCAGGAGACTTCATTGCTCTGGGCTCAAAGGGTCAGACCAGTGACTCCAAAACGACGTCCGCCTTGCTGAAGCCTGCCCCTTCCGGCCTGCCTTCGGAGCGCAAGCGGGATGCTGCGGCCGCTTTGGCCGGTGCCTCCGCCCTAACCGGCCTCACTAAGCGCCCCAAACTCTCCTCCACACCCCCGCTGAGTGCCCTGGGGCGCCTGGCTGAGGCCGCCGTCGCAGAAAAACGCGCTATCTCTCCTTCGATTAAAGAACCGTCTGTGGTCCCGATTGAAGGTAAAGTCTGTCCCCGGACTTCCCAGAGCCTGCTTCCCCCACCAGGGGATTGGTAAGGGCGGCTTCCGCACACCATAGGCAGGCATTGGTTCTTTGGAGAACAGACGAGGGGGTCGTCTGTGAGCTTGTTCTTCAGAGCGCTTCTCACACAAGCGATACCCCCACATGACACAGGTGCGGTTACCTGACCTGCGCCTCTGAGCCCAGTGCGGGAGGGGAGGTGCTGATGTGGCAAGATGGCCCCGGTGGGCCTGGGGCCTTGGTGTGCTGCAGTCATGTAACAGGAGCAGTTGTTGACACTGGCATGTCACCCCAGTGAGCCTCTCTGAGGTCAGAACGAGATGGTGCTCAGGGTCAGTGCCAGCGAAGCAGACCAGAGTGTCACAGACTGGGAAGTGGGCTTTTGGTGTCCATCGGCTTTGCTCCCCGGTTGTCTCTGCTTTTGGGGAGGGGCTGGCAGAGTGTCCAGGTGGACTGCCAGCGACTGTCCTTTGGAACTGGGCTGTTCCTGTGTTGTCTGAAGGGTTTGCTGAGCACCTCCTTTGTGACGGGCTCTGTTCTGAGCTCTGGAGTTGGCGGTAACTGAGACGGACGAATCCTCGTTCTCCTGGTGGGCGTTCTCTGAGCCCTCTCTTCCTTGGGATGAGGAGGCTTGAGCCTCCATAAGCATTTCTCCCCAGTTACTAACACCATAGAGTTTACTTCCCTTCTTTTGTTTTTAGTTGAAAGGTAATCAACATTAAAGACAGTAATGAAAGATACAAAATTTATTCACAACTCTGCCTTTTGCAACAAAGCTGTTAATTCTGCATGCATCTAAAATTGCCCTGCATTTCTGTGTTACCTTCCCTTTGGTTATTTCTAGTGGCTCCAGGATATCTGTTAAATGTCAACTGGTCCCAAATGTTGAGCACATGGGTATTCACATGACAGCATTGGGAGAGAGAAGGCACATCCAGGAATTGTAATGTGGAATGGAGCTTTGGAGGGTGGATAGATTTTGACAGGCAATCGAAGATGTTGGAGAAGCAGAGGCCTGTATCCTGGAGAAAGGGGCTGTGCTCGGAGGTTTGTGGGGGGAGAAGGCTTACACCCCGATCAGGTGGCAGCAGGGAGCCGTGGAGGCATGTGGAGCAGAGGACATGGCTGGAGCTGTGCTTTGGGAGATGAGTCAGGCAGCAGCTGCCCCAGCGCTTTTAGTTCAGGGGCCCTTGCCTGGTGGCTAGTGCTTGCAGAGGCCAACAGAACTCACAGGGCCATGATTTTCTCTGTTACTAGCTGTGGGCTTTTATTTTTTTAGTATCACCTCTCGTAAAAAGGTGGTTGGGGAGATTCAGTGAAGCATGGTTATGAGAAGCATGTTCTGAATGATAAAGTGCTTTGCAAGTGTCTTTAGCAGAACATAGAGCGTGCATCAGCTGTTTGTAGTGTCTGGTGTTCAGTAATTCCAGACTGTCCATCCCCGGCACCTAGAGGGTATTGGGTAAATGCTGGGGAGCCCTCCAGGCTCTGTGCAGGTCACTTAGAAACCAAGGGCAGCGCCTCCCTAGATGCTCAGATATTTAATAACAAGGCCCTAAAATCCTTTTGGGTCAAAGTTGTCGTAATGGAAATAAGAAAATGTCTAGAACTGAGTGATAAACAGATGCAGTGGAAGTACTGTGCCAGGGCACTTCCAAGAGGGACACCAAGAAGCTGGGCGAGCTGCTTGGGAGGGCAAGCTTAGGCTCCAGTCAAAGCAGGACAGCATACAGTGGAGCCAGAGCACAGGGAGGAAAGGGGACTGAAGAGAGGGTGGGAGTGAGCAGCATGGGGAAGGGCAGGGCCCGCAGTGAGCACCAGGAGAGGGGTGGCGCGGTGGGCAGTGCCCGGAAGGACAGCCTTGGGCGCTGCAGTGGCAAAGGGAAGGCTAGGGATGCGCTTGTTAACTTGAAAACTTAGAAAAAGCTGACCAATTTGTAGAAGGAAGTGTTGCGGGACCAGATATCTCTGGGGTAGTCCGGAGGGCTGGGGGTGACATGCCATTCCTGCGTGTGGCCTGCCATTGTCTTGGTTGTTGCCAAGAGCCAGGGCAGGACCCATGACTGTTGTCCTTGGGGGCTGCTGCTACACACAGCCTGGGACCCATGCTTGCTGGGTTTCTGGTGGTGTGCTCTGCTGTCCTGTGGCTTTGTGGCCTCTGCTTGTGGCTGCCTGCTCTGATGGGCCCTGCCTGCCTGGGCCAGTTCCACCCACAGTGCTGCTGGATGAGATTGAAGCTGCTGAGCTGGAGGGCAATGATGACAGGATTGAGGGCGTGCTGTGTGGGGCAGTGAGGCAGCTGAAGGCCGCCCGGGCCAAGCCCGACAGCACCCTGTACCTGAGCCTCATGTACCTGGCCAAAATCAAGCCCAATATCTTCGCCACGGAGGGAGTCATCGAGGTGAGGGCCGGGGTTGCCTCCTCCGTCCTGGGATGGGTGGGCAGATCCTGGGCCCTGTCTTTGGCTTCTCCCTCCAGTTGCCTTCCGGAAGCACACTGGCTCTGCCCGCGTGCCCGTAGGCTCCCTGGCCACATGCACGGTCTCCTGCAGGCTCTGTGTGGCCTTCTGCGCCGGGACAACTCCATCAATTTCAAGGCCAAAGGGAACAGCCTAGTGTCCGTGCTGGCCTGTAACCTCCTCATGGCTGCCTACGAGGAGGACGAGAACTGGCCGGAGATCTTTGTTAAGGTGAGTTGTCGTCTCCTGGGAGGCTCAGAGTGGTCTGTCCCTTGTGGTGAGGAAGGCAAAGCACCACAGCAGAGGGGGCAGCCCCTGGGCACCTGAAGGGAAAAGAGGAACTGAGAAGTGTCTCCAGAGGGCTATGCCTTTGGTGGCCCAGGCGCTGTCTGCACTGGTCACTGGGGAGGTGCCCCTGGTAGCCCCTCTCTGGGCAGCTGGGACAGGCCGGAAATGTTCATCTAGCTCCTTCCCTTGGCCCAGCTGGGGATCTACCCGGCGGGATCTGGAGCACAGACTCTGTCACCCGTAGGTGTATATTGAAGATTCCCTAGGGGAGCGCATCTGGGTGGACAGCCCCCACTGTAAGACCTTCGTGGACAACATCCAGACGGCATTCAACACCAGGATGCCCCCTAAGAGCATGCTCCTACAGGGGGAGGCGGGGCGCAGCGGGGGGGACCTCAGTGCTGGTAAGGGATGGGATGCCAGGGGCTGGGCTGGGGTCCCCTTGCTCCCCAGAGCCTAGTGTTGTGGGGGTGTGGGTACTCACGGGACAGGTGGTGGGGTGTCCACAGGGAGCAGTCCCCACCCCTCCCTTACTGAGGAAGAGGACAGCCAGACGGAACTCCTGATTGCCGAGGAGAAGCTCAGCCCTGAGCAGGAGGGCCAGCTCATGCCCAGGTAGGCATGCAGTGTGGCACACAGCTGGCGTGGCTGTGTGGCTGGGAGCAGGTGGGTGGGCCCCAGGAGGAGAGCCAGCCTGCCTTCCCTCTCCTTCCCCCGCTGGTCTAGGTATGATGACCTCACAGAGAGCGTGGAGGAGTATGTTCTCGACATGCTTCGGGACCAGCTCAACCGGCGTCAGCCCATCGATAATGTCTCACGGAACCTCCTGCGGCTCCTCACTTCCACCTGTGGGTACAAGGAGGTGCGACTGATGGCGGTGCAGAGGCTGGAGATGTGGCTGCAAAACCCCAAGGTGAGGGTGGGGTGCTGTGCCTACAGCACACTCAAGGGCCTCCTGGGTCCTGCCGTGCCAGGCCCTGCCTACCAGCCCTTAGCTGCCAGGCTGACAGGGTCATCTGGGCTCCCTGCAGCTGACCAGGCCCGCCCAGGACCTGCTGATGTCTGTCTGCATGAACTGCAGCACGCACGGCTCTGAGGACATGGACGTCATTTCCCACCTCATCAAAATCCGCCTCAAGCCCAAAGTTCTCCTTAACCACTACATGCTCTGTGTCAGGTGCAGCCCAGGTGGGGAGTCTGGGGGATGAGGGGTGACATGGAAGAGGCTCTGGCCCGCATTAGTGCCCCATGTGCTCTGCTGGTGTCCAGGGAACTGCTGAATGCGCATAAGGACAACCTGGGCACCACCATCAAGTTCGTGATCTTCAATGAGCTTTCCAATGCCCGGAACCCAAACAACATGCAGATCCTCTACACTGTGCTGCAGCACAGCTCGGAGCTGGCGCCCAAGGTGGGCAGCCCCTGTGGCACAAGCTGTGGGCTGGGTCAGGCCTGGGGTCCTCCCTGGGCTTGGGGTGCCCAGCTGGAGAGGAGCGTGGGGCAGTGCCTGCCCGGGAGGGGTCCCTGGAGGGCGGGAGGGGCTGTGCCTGATGGGCCTGAAACACTGGCAGTTCCAGAGCGGGTGCCCCCATGCATGGGTGTCTCTCTTAGGAACTACAGCTACATCTGCTCAGGAGGGAGCTGCAGTGGGCCCTGAAAGGCCCATTTTCCCAGCTAGGCTGGCCCAGCCATCCTGAGGGGTGGCCCTCCTGCCACTGGCCTCCTGGCTTCAGGGTCCCTAGCGAGGGAGAGCTGAGAACAGTGCTCCCATTGCTGTCCACACAAGCTGGGCTGGTAGACGGGGTGCCTAGCAAACTCAGGACCAGTCCCAGTGGTTGGCCCTCTGACATCTTGTCCCCTGGCCTTTTAGGAGAGGTGGTGGTTTGGCTCTCTGGCTTGAGGTGGGGCTGAGCCAACAACCCTGTGGCCTGGGTGCCTGGAATATAGCTGCTGCCCAACCCCCCCAGCCAGTATCTGTCAGTTCTGTCCCTTTGGTCAGTGAGGACCAGCTCCCTGCCAGCCAGTGCCAGGAGAGTGGAGTGAGGTGTTGCCCTGCTGTCATAGAGCTCAGGCTGTGGAGAGAGTGGTCACACCGCTGTCCGGGTGTAGCCAGCCCGTGAGTGGCTGGTTGCTCATGCACCTGTGTGCCTGGGGTGCTTTGGGGAGGCTGGTGGGGTGCTTGCCCAGAGGGCTTCCTGCAAGGCCCAGCGAGGCCCTGATGGGTGGCCGGAGATGGTCCCAGCTGCTTCCTGCGTGGTCTCTCTGCCCCAGTTCCTGGCCATGGTGTTCCAGGACCTGCTGACCAACAAGGACGACTACTTGCGGGCCTCGCGGGCCCTGCTCCGGGAGATTATCAAGCAGACCAAGCACGAGATTGACTTCCAGGCCTTCTGCCTCGGGCTTATGCAAGAGCGCAGGGAGCCACAGCACCTGGACATGGAGTTCAAGGTGCCACGGCCACCCCGGCCCCCATCCCTGGCTGGTCCCGCCCTTGAGCTGCCCATCCCCACCCTGGCCCCCCTCAGCCCCCATGCTGCACCCACCTCTCCTGGTGCCCTCATCCCACCACCTCTCGGCTGCCCGCCCAGCCCCGGCTTCCCTTCAGCACCCTCAGCCGCCCCAGCCCCCTGCCATCCCTAACCTCGGCTGCCTTGGCCCTCACCCCTGAGGCTCATGCAGGAGTGCAGGGAGCCACAGCACCTGGGCATGGAGTTCAAGGTGCTGGGGCCACCCCCCAGCTGCCCCTCTGCCGCCCATCGCTCCCTTAGCTTGCTGGGCGAAGTGGTTGGTGCCTGGTGTGGGCAGTGGCCAGTCCCAGAGGGCAGCTGGGCTCCCTCCAGAGCGAGGACTGAGGGGCAGCTGGGCTCCCCCAGGGAAGTGGGCCCCTGGCTGGGTGTGGAGGTGGGGCAGCACTGTAGCTGGTGGGGCTAGGGGAGCCAAGAGGCAGTGCAAGCAAGGAGCAGGGCCACACAGATGTGTGTGGGAGGGCAGGCATCTGCTCTGGGTAAGATTTTCTGCGGGGAGAGAGAGGGCTGGAAGGGGAATCGGGACAGATCGTCGGGGATCACCAGTCCCTACGGGCAGGTTGGCAGGTAGCACCATACAGTTGTCCAAGTCTCAGGAAGATGGGCTTTGTCCAGCTTTCTTGGCTGAGCCTCCATCCTGTGGGCCTTGCTGCCCTGGCTCTTGTCCCAAGACCTCCTCCTGCCCTGCTCTCTCCTGCCACAGTAGTCCCCGGGTGCTGTCAGACCTGGTGTCCTCCTGTGCAGCTGCTGGTCTTCTCGGGGCCTGAGTATAGCCTGGGGCAGCCCTTCTGGAGTACAAACCTGTAGCCCCCGGCTCTGCTTACAGGAACGCTTTGTGGTACACGTCACAGATGTGCTGGCTGTGTCCATGATGCTGGGCATAACTGCCCAGGTGAAGGAGGCCGGGATCGCCTGGGACAAAGGAGAGAAGAAGAGTAAGGATCTGGAGTGCTGCTCCGGTGTCCTGGGGCAGGTGGCAGGGCCCTGGCTGGGTGGCAGGGGCATATCCATGGCTGTAGGCCATCCCCTGAGGCCCAGGCAGTGCCCCCAGAGACAGGGAGCTTCTGGAAGCTGCTGTTCCCTGTCCCCTTGGCCCCTTCTCTGCTTGGGTCATATGCTCACTCAAATTGTGGTGCCCCTCATGGCAGCATTTCAGGCTGTGGCCCTTCAGCCAAGGGTGGGTGGTGGAAGAAGGGAGATGGTGTTTGAATTAGCACACTGTGGTCCCTTACAAGTCCTGCTGGAAGGCCTGGTTGCAGAGGACATTCAAGCAATGGGCTGGAATGAAGTTGCTTTGAATTTGAGGGTTTAGCCTGCCCCGGCTTTCCTCCGCCCTCGTGAGGCATGCCCTATGTTGCTGTCCCAGCTGGGTTGCGGGCCCCCTCCATGTTTGTCCTCTTGTGCACAGGTGGGATGTCTTGAGCACCTCCCACTTGGGCTTGAGTTGGACCCTGAGAGACATTTGCTGCCCCCGGGCTGCCGTGCAGACATGCAGGTGAGCCTGCTTGTTCCTTTCAGACTTGGAGGCGCTGCGCTCCTTTCAGAACCAGATAGCAGCGATCCAGCGGGATGCAGTGTGGTGGCTGCACACTGTGGTGCCATCTATCAGCAAGCTCGCGCCGAAGGACTACGTGCACTGGTAGGGTGTCTGGGGGACAGGTGGCCGCTTCCCTGTGGCTTATGACAGCGAGTGGTGGGGCTCCCAAGTGGAAGTACGTCACCTTGGGTGTGGCTGCCGGGTGGCAGCCCCACAAGAACCCATGCTGTGGGACATGGGGACCCCGGTGGGTGTCAGAGCCTCAGGCAGAGCCCTCCCTTTGGGGGGCAGAAGTAGGGGCGCAGGGGGCTGGGGTTGAGGCTTTGTATATGTGCTCAGTCATCAGCCACCCCTGGGCTGTGGGGACTTGCTGGAGGCTCTGCAGGAGGTGCTGGGGGGCATCTGGATGCAAGCAGCCCCTGCCTCTGAGGGTACAGCTTCTAGTCTGTGGGAGATGGTCTCTTTTGGAACTAATACGGTGGAGAGGGTCGCCTGGGCCCCTGACGGCCTCTCTGCCTCCGCAGCCTCCACAAGGTGCTCTTCACAGAGCAGCCAGAGACCTACTATAAGTGGGACAATTGGCCCCCCGAGAGCGACCGCAAGTGAGTGCCTGTGCTGGGGCCTGGGGCACGCCGCGCAGGTGGGGTCCTCCACTCGTGAGGGTGGGCAGGGGCCCGCCTGGCGCTGCTTGGCTCTCCGTGCTCCCATCCCTGTCCCAACACACAATGCTGTACAGGCCATCCCACATGCCTTCTGTGAAGTTGCCTCCATTCCCAGGCTCTGCCCTCCCCGAGCTTTCATGAAGCCGCATGCACATGCCTTCTGCCCTTGGCCAGCATTTGGCCCTGTGTCCCTGAGCCAGGGTCCCCTGCCCCTTGCCTTCTGAAGGGTCACTCCTGTCTGTCCCCACCCCCGGGCCTCTGCTGCTGGGTTCAGCCTGCTTGTCTCTTCGTGTCTTACTCACCTGTGCTCTGTGCCCTTCACATGCCACTGTTTGGTGGGTGGTGGGTTGTGACGGGTCTGTCTGCCCCTGACCCTGAGCTCCCAAGCATGGAGCACCTTCTTGCATTCCTTTTCGGGATGGCTGAACCTCGTCTGAGGGGCCACAGGAGTGGATGACCATGGGTCAGGGTGGGTGCTGCCCTCTGCCCAGTGCAGGGCAGACTTGCAGCTGGGACATTCCCTGCACACAGGAGGTGACAGTCTCCGCCTTTGGCCTCAGCCCCACCCAGCAGGCCCATCTGGGCTAGGGGTGGTCCTGTGAGCCCAGCTCCTCCCTCCCTGCCCACAGCTTCTTCCTTCGCCTCTGCTCGGAGGTGCCCATCCTGGAGGACACGCTGATGCGCATCCTGGTCATTGGGCTGTCCCGGGAGCTCCCGCTCGGCCCTGCAGATGCCATGGAGCTTGCTGACCACCTGGTGAAGCGAGCTGCAGCCGTGCAGGCGGATGGTAAGGGTCTTTGGGACCCATTGCCAGTCTCCCTGCCCCACAAAAGCCGTTTTGGCCCTGGCACATGCCTGTGGGCCTCCCTCTCTGCCTCGGGCAGCACACGCTCCCTGTCTGCTCATGCCTGCATGTGGTGATACTGCTGTCCCTGACAGGCCTGTGGGTTCACACACCCACCACATGCTGCGAGGTGAAAGCCTGTGTCAGTTTCCCCAGCCCTGCCCATGATGCTTGTTGCGGTTTGTCTGCACCTCTCTTCGCACAGCCTCTCACCCATCCTCCACTTTGGAAGAGTGAGGCCCCCCTATCACTGTCTGTCCATGCCTGGCTCCTCAGCCTGGACATCCAGCCAGTGAGTTGGAGCAGCTTTTAGAACCTGTGTGTGGCTCTCGTTTTAGATGTGGACGTACTGAAGGTAGAGCGGGTCCAGCTCATCGACGCCGTGCTGAACCTGTGCACGTACCACCACCCTGAGAACATCCAGCTGCCCCCCGGGTGAGAGCATAGCCCCGCTCCACCTACCCTGCCGGGCCCTCCTGGTAGCCTGTCTAGGGACACCTGTGAGACTAAACCATGCTCCGCGAAGGAGCTGTTTTCTGCTGTTACCTGGGTTTTAGTGATACTCTTCCCTGCTCCGTCCTTTTTGGTATCTTTTTCATAGATTCTTTATCTTCTGTGTTAATTAATGCCCACACTGTAGTTTGGAGACAACAGCATGTTTGTGTTCAGTTTTCTTAACTGCTTTACTGAGGTAAGTGCACATTCGTTTCACCTATTTAAAGCTGTGATTCCCTGTCTTGGTGAATTCACAGCATTATGCAGTCACCACAGTCTGAATTAGGGCATTTTATGCTCCCAGAAAGACACCCACACTGGTTAGCTGTCACCCCTGCGGCCCTGGCACCACGTATCTTCTGTCCGCCCTGCAGATCTGACCTTGGATGTGCCGTGGGCATAGACTTGCACAGCATGTGGCTTTTCACGTCTGGCCTCTTGCTGAGCAGGTGTTCTCACAGTTCACAGAGGTGCAGCACATTCTGGACTCATTGGGTTTTGTGGCTGAATGGTGTCTTTTATATGGACACACTGTGTTTGCTTCCTGGCTGATGCACATTTGGGTTGCTTCCACTATTGGGCTATCGTTCCTGCTGCTGGAACGCTCATGAGCAGTCTGGATAGATGCGTTTCAGCTCTCCTGAGTGGATGCCGTGAGCGGCGACTGCTCTGTCCTCTGCTCCCAGCAGCAGCGCCCAGGGCCTGATTCCACCGCATCCTGGCCAGCACTCCCTCTGCTCTTCACTGGAGCCGCCTTTGTGGACATACAGTGGCCGCTCAGCGAGCCTGGCTTTGCACTTCCCTCGTCGCCATCTCTTACGTGCTCACTGCCATTTGTACATTTTCACTGGAGAAACGTCTATTCAAGTTCTTTGCCCACTTTTAAGTTGGCTTTTTGAATTCTTTTTTTCAGAGTTTTTTCTCTCTTCTGGGCACTACATCCTTCTCAGATCTGTGATCTTTGGATGTTTGCCCCACGGTTTGGCCTCTCATCACACTACGGTGTCCTTTGAGACACAGTCATTGACTTTGATAAAAGTCCAGTCCATCTGTTTTTCTCTTGTGTCTGAATTTTTTGTCAGATGTAAGGCACCACTGCTTAGTCCAGGACCACAAAGATTTACTCCTGTTTTCTCCTGAGAGTTCTGTAGCTTCGATGCTATGTGTACGTCTTTGAACTGTTTAATCTTTGTGTACAGAGTAAGGCAGATCCAAATTCCCTCCTCTGCTGGGATGTCCAGGTGTCCTGCCCGCATCCTCCCTTTGAATTGTATTAGCCTCTCCTTGGCGGCCAGGCCGCAATGTGCAGGTGGGTCTCTGTGTGGACTCTTAGTTCTGGTCCAGTGCCTCTGGGTCTGTCCTGATGCCATGATGGGACAACTCTGTCATCGCCGTGCATCTTGGCTGAGTCTGAAGTTGGGAAATGTGAGTCCCCCAGTTTTGTTCTTTTCCAAGATTGTTTTGGCTGTTTGAGGTCCTTACATTTTCATATGAATTTTAGGGGTCACCTTGTCAGTTTTCAGCAAACAGCCAGCTGGGGATTACATTGAACATGTAGATCAGCGTGGGAGTATTGCTGCATCTGCAGTGTGGTACCTTCAGCCCCTGACTGGGGGTGGGTAGGTCTCCTGTCCATTTAGACCTTTCATTTCTTTCAGCAACCTTTTGTACACTGGATAAGTCTCACGCTTCTGTTAAGTTTACGCCTAACTGCTATTTTCTTTGAAGCTATTTGTCATATGGAATTTGTCTCTTCATTCTTCTGTGGGTTGCCAGTGTCCACTGTGCTCAATCACTCATGCTGGGCAGCTGATCTCACACTTTACAAGTGAGGATCTCAGTTTACCTCGTTCTGATAGCTATGTTCTGTTTCATAGAAAGCAGAGTATTTTCGTCATAACTATACTGTATGTGGATTTTAAGTATCACTACGATTACATGTTGATGGGTACTGGGGTGGATTTCTGGTCTGATGGAAAGAATAGGAGCGTAACTAACCCTTATCAGCATGGGTTACTTTGATTAGCTCTGTTCCTGTTTCATAGGCACAGAATGGTGAGGACGTGCCTAAGGGCTCAGAGCTGGTCCATGGTGGGCACTGACCCCACCTGGGCTCTGCAGCGTGGTGGCTAAGGCAGGCACTCCTGGGGCACAGGCGTCACTGGAGGGGACGGCAGGACAGGAACCGATGGCACAAACCTCTAAAGCAGGCTCCACATCAGTCACCACAGGATTGTCTCTGTGCTGTGGCTGCCTTGGCCGAGGCTGGTTCTTGTCACTGGCCTCAGCACAGCTGAAGCTAAGTCAGCGCCCTTGCATTTCAGGTACCAGCCTCCAAACCTTGCCATCTCAACCCTCTACTGGAAGGCCTGGCCCCTCCTGCTGGTCGTCGCTGCATTTAACCCAGAGAACATTGGTGAGCCCCCTCTGGCCAGCACATGTTCGTCTCAGCTGGAAATCACTGCTTCCCGTTGGGGTGTTTGGCTCATCGGGACCTGGAGTAGAGCCTGGCTGGGGCCTGGACGATGAGCCTGGAAGGGGCTGGGTTTTGGGCCTGGCGCTCCACAGGCTGGTGCTGGCCAGGCAGGAATGCTGTGTCCTGGTCACCACTTTCTTTCTCCTTGCTCCCTAGGCCTGGCTGCCTGGGAGGAGTACCCAACGCTGAAGATGCTCATGGAAATGGTGATGACCAAGTAAGTCAGCTCGAGCGCTGCTGGGACCAGGACCCCGAGCGGGTGGGCTGACTCCTGCTGTGCTGGGCAGCGGAGCCGACTCGAGCTTCCAGACTGCTCTGAAGGCCGCATCCTCTGCTGGGCTGCCTCCCAGTGTCCTTTACTCACAGGCTTGGGTTTCTGAGCCTGAGTCTGAGGAGCTTTGTGCCCTGTGGAGAGGTTCCTAATGGGATTGGAGTGGGGCCCTGGAGCTGTGGGGCCCACTCATGCTGTGATGGGGTATGGCTCAGGCTGATACCCGTCATGCTAGGAGGGATACAGCGGGAGATTCAGGATCCAGAGGGCTCACCGAGTGGCAATGGTGGGTGCAGGGCAGCAACATGTGATCCACATTTGTGCACAGAGGGTGCGGGACTCACGCCCAGTGGAGCACCGATGCCATGGCTGGCATGCCCACACCTTGCTGTGTGCCAGCAAAGCAGTGTTGCTGCCTACAAGGTGCTGTGATGCTGTGACAGGAGCTGGGTCCCCCTGTACTGGCACAGCCTGAGCCACGGCGTATGTGGATTTGGCATGTGGGAACCAGGCACACGTCTGGGCAAGGCTGTGGCAGTGGGAACCCAGCGTGAGTGGCTCAAGTCTGGAGACCCTGCTACTCCTGTGGCTTCTCCGAAAGTCTTCTGCTCTGTGGCTGACAGTGGACAGGCTTAGGGGCTCTCAGGACAGCCCTGAGATAAGTGGTGTCACGGGCAGATAGATTTGATCTTAGAGTATGGGCTCGTGCCTCCCACCAAAGCCATGGGAGCCTCTGGATGCCAGCCTGGGCGCACCCTTGCCATCTGGTGTGTTGGAAGGGGATCCGTGGAGGTGGGCTGGAGGAGAGGCTGTCCTGTGCACAGCAGGGCAGGGTGCTTGCTGTCCCTGTGGGGCTGGTTTTGGATGTCCTGCATACTGTCTGCAGGAGAGCAGGTAGCAGCTGGGGGCTCTGTGAAGACAGGCCTGATACAGTGTTGCTTATGGCCCCACTGGGGCTTCCTAGCTCCTCCCAGTGGAAGCCCTGTGCAGGGCAAGGACCTGTGGGTGGGTGCTGACCCTCCCTGACCCTGCGTTGTCAGGGGGCAGTGGGCCTCTGACAGGCATGGAAACAAGTTCCCCTTTTGGCCCCCAGTAATTACTCCTACCCACCATGCACCCTGACGGATGAGGAGACACGGACAGAGATGATCAGTCGGGAGCTGCAGATTTCCCAGCGGGAGAAGCAGGAAATCCTGGCATTCGAGGGCCACCTGGCAGCTGCCTCTACCAAGCAGACCATCACTGAGAGCAGCAGCCTCCTCCTGTCTCAGCTTACCAGCCTGGACCCCCAGTAGGCACTGCACCCAAGCCCCCCCTTACCAGCTCCGAACCATGGTGGTGGCCCAGCCCAGACTGTCAGGTGGTGGGGCAACAGGCAGGGTACACCTTCAGACATGCCCGGCCAGGCCACTGTCCCGGCTCTCTGTGGAGCCAGGCCCCAGGGGCAGCGACAGTGCCCACAGCGGGCAGGAGGGACTGTTCTCAGATGGGGCGGTAGCCCCACCCTCAGCACCACTGTGCCTGAAGGCTTTCTGACACACTTGTGTCCCCTGGGCTTCCAGAGGACCCCCACGGCGGCCACCCCCCCACATCCTAGAGCAAGTGAAAGGCCTTAACCAGTCCCTCCGCCTGGGGCACCTGCTGTGTCGGAGCCGGAACCCCGACTTCCTCCTCAATATCATCCAGAGGCAGGTGAGCCCCCGCAGCTCTGGGAGGGCGACTCGGTGCAGGGGCAGGTGGGCACGGGGCAGGGTCACAGGCTCTTGGGCACATGGGCTGGGCAAGTAGGGACAGGGCTGCTGTCAAGCTGGACAGAGCTGAGGGTGCTGTTGCCCTGCCCAGGCCTCTTCGCAGTCCATGCCCTGGCTGGCCGACCTGGTGCAGTCCAGCGAGGGCTCCCTGGACGTGCTGCCTGTACAGTGCCTGTGTGAGTTCCTGCTGCACGACGCCGCCGACGACTCTGCCTCTGGCGGCGAGGAAGAGGAGGGCGAGAGTAAGGAGCGGAAGGCCAGGAAGCGGCAGGTCAGTGCCCCCACCCACCAAGCCCCTGCAGGCCCACCCTGAGGCCTCTCCCCAACCCTGAGGCCCCCTCCCCACAGAGGCAGCAGAAGCAGAGGCAGCTCCTGGGCCGCCTGCAGGACCTGCTGCTGGGCCCCAAGGCCGATGAGCAGACCACGTGTGAGGTGCTGGACTACTTCCTGCGGCGCCTCGGCTCCTCCCAGCTGGCTTCCAGGGTGCTGGCCATGAAGGTGAGGCTGGGGAGGGGCTGAGCTTTGTGGCCCTCAGCACTCTGACTTCCCAGCAGAGCTCTTGTGTAATTGAAGTGGTATGTCACCCACCTGGACATGCGATCTAGCTGATCTTTGTGCACAGAGGGGATGACACTGATGAACTCTGCTGGCCCCAGGGCCCTTTCTCGCTGGTCAGTGTCCCTGGGTACTGATGCCAACATCTGGGGGTGACTTAGCAGCTGTGTCTTTGAGCTACTTAACAGCGGTTTTGTAGACACTGGCTCAGGCTGCTACTTCCGGAGCTCTGACCAGATGTGGTGTCAGTCAGCTGGGCAGCCCGTATCCCACCCAGGGCTTTGAGGGATTGTAGCAGCCCCAGATTTGAGAGATCCGGGCATGCACTCTGGGCGAGGCATGTCTGGAGGTGGCCCAGCACATGCGTCTGCTTGCAGGGCTTGTCCCTGGTGCTCTCAGAGGGAAGCCTGCGGGACGGGGACAAGGAGCCCCCGATGGAAGAGGACTCAGGGGACGCGGAGACGTTGCAGGGCTATCAGTGGCTGCTGCGAGACCTTCCCAGGCTGCCTCTGTTCGACAGTGTCAGGGCCACCACCGCCCTGGCGCTGCAGCAGGTAGGGGGCTGGCTGCTGGGGGAGGGGCAGAGTGGCAGGAGCAGGCCTAGCACCAGGGAGTTACACAGCCCTCCTTTCCCAGGCCATCCACATGGAGACTGACCCACAGACCATCAGCGCCTACCTGGTCTACTTGTCCCAGCACACGCCCGTGGAGGAGCAGGGCCAGCACAGTGACCTGGCCCTGGTACGGGGCAGGGCCCCAAGGCAGCTCCCAGGCTAGGGCGTGGGACAACTTCTGCCCAGAGTGGGTGTCCAGGGCGTGAGGCCCAGGTGCCACTTGGTGCCAGAGCTGCCACAGCCTCGCTGCCTTTGTCACTGTCTGCCCTTGGCACTGGCCTGGGCTGAGGGAGGTGGGGTTTGGGCCCCTGGGAGGACTTGGTTGGGGGTGGAGAGTGTGCAGTGGGGCAGTCCTGCAGGCCAAGGGTTCTCCGCAGCAAGGCCTCCACGCTGCCAGCCCCTCCAGGGAGGGCATGTGCCCTGCCCCTTCCTCCTCTTTTTGGTCAGCTCTGCCAGCCTTGTGTTCCAGGGCTTGCTCTCAGCTCTGACCTGGTGCGGTTCCTGTGGGCCCGGATCTTTGTGGAGTGGATGAGGGAATGGCAGCCAGCAGAGGTCCCTGGAGGGTGGGGTCCTTGCTGAGGGGCTGGGAGGAATAAAAGCTTGCACTGTGAGGCCTTGTTCTGAGCCTGGTCTGGTGGCAGCCTGGGGAATGGCATGTGGCCAGCAGCCCAGCATGATGGCCGCAGGTTTCAAGTAAATACAGCACCTGGTTGTTTGCAGACCCCATCCCTGAGGGCTGTGGCACCTGCACCCCTATTGCTTTTGGGGTGGCACAGTGTCTCCTTGCTGGCCCTCTCCGAGCTGGGCGGGTGGTGACAGGTGTGGCCACTGTCAGAGCCATGCATGCATCCTCCTGCTGCTGCCTCAGCCGTGGTTCTCTGGGGAGTCTGTGTACTTCTTCCCTGCTGCTCCCAGCCACATGGTGTCCCTGTGGCCCAGGGCACCCTGCACACAGGCCCTCCCTCTGTTGCCGGCACATCTAGCCTTGGAGCTGGTGGTGGCACAGGGTGCCCTGGGCATGGCCGTTGGCTCAGCGAGGAGGACGAGGGATGGAGGGGCTGGTGAGCTTGCTCCCCCAGTGCCTGTGCTCTGACAGAGGTGTCCCCACCCCCAGGATGTGGCCCGGCTCATCGTGGAGCGCTCCACCATCATGTCCCACCTCTTCTCGAAGCGCTCCTGCAGTGCCGAGTCAGACGCTGTGCTTGTGGCCCTGCTTTCCATCTTCTCCCGCTACGTGAGGCGCATGCGCAAGAGCAAGGAGGGAGAGGAAGTCTACAGCTGGGTAAGGTGTGGCCTGGTGCCCGGGTCCTGGCCCTCGGTGCCCCGCAGCCTAGCCAGACCTCTGCTTTCCCTGCAGTCAGAGTCACAGGACCAGGTTTTCCTCCGCTGGACCAGTGGTGAGACGGCCACCATGCACATCCTGGTGGTCCACGCCATGGTCATTCTCCTGACGCTGGGGCCGCCCCACAGTGAGTGCCTGCTAGTGTGAGGGATGGCTCCCCCCGCTGCAGCCCTGCCAGTGGCCTTGGGAAGGTCCCCATCCCAGTGCGGTCTCCTGAGGAGTAGATAGTCTTTCCTTCCTGTGGAGAGTTTTAGAGGAAGCATGTAAGAATCTGTGTGGCACGGCAACACAGACCATCATCACCTCAAATTGATAGGCCTGTGGTTTCCGGTGATTCATCCCAGCCCCGGCCCCATGCTATCCTGTTGTCTGTGATGCCTGTGGGCAGCGCCTGCCCCTCCTTGCTCTCCCGGCCCAGCCAGGGAGATGCTTGGTCTCTGGAGATGGAGGCACACACAGGGGGCTGCCCACGAAGGAGACACTTAAGGGCCAGAGCCATGAGCGCCTGTTCTCTGCAGGCCTGGGGGCAGAGCCTCACCTTCCCATGGGCTTTGTCTGCAGCAGGGTGGCCCTCCCACTGGCCGAGCCCTCTTCGGCCTGGCAGCCTGCCTGCCCCCTTTCTGGCTGATGGCTGTGGACTCTAACATGTATCCATGTCCAGGAGTGGGAGGAAGGGTTGGGTCCCCTTGCTGGAACTGGGCCACATGGGCTGTGCTGGGAAGATGAGCCCTGCGGGAGGGTGGGTACAGGGCACGCCTTGGTGGGAGTGCCTCAAGGGCAGGATTCTGTGAGAAACAGCAGGGAGGGGAGGATGGCCTCGCAGGCCTGAGCCCACTGGGCTTCTACGGACTTTGTGGAGCCTGCAAGTTGGAAGGTATCTGGTTTGGCCAAGCACAGACATGTACAGTGCAGGCCCAGGGTCACACACAGTTCCCTGGGGCCACCTGCCCAGCTCTTCCATCCCTCTGCTTCCTCACTGGCAAGCAGGTGGCACAGTGATGGGTTGGCCGTGTCAGCCCCACAGAGTCTTGGCATACAGGGCACACTCTGTGCTGAGCTGCCCTGTCCTCCGGAGCCTCCGTCCTGCCTGTGAATTAAGGGCTCTGGTGCTTGCAGCCCGGCATTTGGGCTTTGGTGGGGCCAGGCCCCTCGGGTGGTGAGGTTCGGGAAGCTTCCCTGAGGTACCCCCACTGTTTACCCCATCATCTCTCCCCAAGCTGATGATGGCGAGTTCCAGGCTCTGCTGGACATCTGGTTCCCGGAGAAGAAGCCTCTGCCCACGGCCTTCCTGGTGGACACCTCAGAGGAGGCTCTGCTGCTGCCCGACTGGCTGAAGCTGCGCATGATCCGCTCAGAGGTCCCTCGCCTGGTGGATGCTGGTGCGGGCATGGTGTGGGAGGGTGGCCAGGTGCCACTGGCTGTTGCAGATCAGAGAGGGCAGCTCAGGCTCCCTGATGGCTGTTCATGGGCATCGCGGTGTGCGTGGATGCTGTGCTGGACTTGATGGGGGGGCAGCAGTACCTACACTGACCCCGCCACAAATTTTTTTACAGCCGGGCGGCAAGGCTGGGCAGTGCCAGAGAGGGCAGGGTGAGCGGTCTGGGAGGTGGGGGCAGGAGGGTGGGCCTCCTCGTTGGCCCTGCAGATGGAGTGGGATTAGATACCTGCAGGGAGGAAGGATCCTGGGCACTTGCGTGGGGTGGAGGCTGTGCGCTGGGCAGCAGGGTTAGTGCAGGAAGGATGCATTCGGAGGAGCCAGGATTTACCATGAGCCACAGGGAGCCTTGGTGATTCTAGGAATGCTCAGAGCCCAGAGGGAGCTGAGCACACAGCCTGAGAGCAGGGCTGGAGCCGGTCATGTGCTGGGCATGTGGGAGCTAATCTGAGGCCCGACCACCCTGTAGCCACCTGCCTGGGCGCTGGGGAAGCTGGAGGCAGGTCACACCGCTGCACATGCTCATGGTGTGTGGCCATCCCCAGCCCTGCAGGACCTGGAGCCACAGCAGCTGCTGCTTTTCGTGCAGTCCTTCGGTATCCCCGTGTCCAGCATGAGCAAGCTCCTCCAGTACCTGGACCAGGCAGTGGCGCATGACCCCCAGACACTGGAGCAGAACATCATGGACAAAAGTAAGAGCCAGGGATCCTCGGTTGGCCAGCAGACCTGGGCCTATGTGCATGGCTGGATGGCTGGAGCTCCACAGGAAGGTTGAGGCTGGCTGATCAGGAGAGGCCAGTGCCCCCGACCCCAGCTCTCAGTTGTCCTACCCTCTGGGGGGGTCTGAGGATGGAGGGAGCGGCAGGAGAGGGCTCTGTCACTACCTGGGCCTTTGTGAAATGGTCTGGAAGGTTTGGCATGTGGGGCCAGGACCATGTGCTTCCTGTTGGGCCCAGGTGCTGAGCCCCGGCTGTGGTCCACAGATTACATGGCTCACCTGGTGGAAGTTCAGCACGAGAGAGGAGCATCCGGAGGCCAGACGTTCCACTCCCTGCTCACAGCCTCCCTGCCCCCTCGGCGAGGTACCACCTGCCCCTGCTCGGAGCAGCCTTCCAGTCGGGTAGTGCTGGCCACTGGCCGGTGTTCGAGCCCCTTGTTAAAGACCCTGCCCTAATGCCTCAGTAGGCCTCAGCAGGCTGGAGGGTCCCTCTCGTGGCCACTGAGCCACCTCTTCCCTGCCTTGGTCTGTGCACTCCAGATCCCATAAGTTGACTGGGAAGAATTACCAGCTGCCCATGCTCCCTTTCCTGCAGACAGTGCAGAGGCGCCAAAGCCCAAAAGCAGCCCAGAGCAGCCTCCGGGCCAAGGCAGGATCCGGGCCGGAACTCAGGTGCGGGTGCTCAGCCCTGAGGACGACCTGGCCAGCATGTTCCTTCAGGTACTGCCTCCACTTCCAGGATGGGCGCCCAGGGCCTCCATTTCCCCCTCTGCCCAGAGTTAGGTGACCCTTGAGAGCTACGCAGCTTGCCTGTGCCTCAGTTTCTTCCTCTGCAAAGTTGGGCTTGGGGCAGTGCCCCAAGTTGAGAGCAGAGCCCAGAGGTGCCATCATGCCCGCCACCACCTTGCTTTTTACCAGCCTGGCAGCAGCAGCCCAACCACAAGGGGGCTGGCACTGTCAGCACCTGGGCCTGGCTGTGTGCTGTGCAGAGACAAACTGTGTGTGGTGGGTCCCCCACAAACAGCCTCCCACATTATCTTTGCCCTGCTGATCTGTGTGCTTTTCACAGAGCTCATGTGCCAGGCAGCCAGCCTGCTGGGGCCTGCGATTTCAGCTCTGTTCCACCTTGCTGCTGCCGTACACGTGTGTGTGCGGGACCCTGCAGCCCTGGTGTTGCATCCACATGTGCTCTCCCCCTTCTCACACACAGTGGTATTCACTGCAGAGCTGGTGTGATGTCCTCCCAGGATGCATGCACACTTACCACACGGGCAGGCACACATGCTTTCTCAGACAGTTTCTCTAGGGTCCAGGCCCATGTTTGGGGAGGGGCTGCCCGCCATGCACTGGCTGCAGTCAGCACACACCCTTCAAGTGTAGAGGCCAAGATTTGCAGGGCTGTGGGCTCTCTGCTGTCTCCAGGGCTAGGGTCCCACACGCCCCTCTCCAGGGTCCCTGGTCACTACCCCACCTCCCCTAGAGTGCAGTATGTGTGTGTGTGCACACTGGGGCCAGCTGCCTTGCACAGGTCTCATGCCAGCAGGGATGGCAGAGAAGGCTGGGGCTTCACCATGCTGTGTGTCCTGACTGCTGCCTGTGCTCTGCTCCAGATCTTCCCGCTGAGCCCCGGCCCACGGTGGCAGAGCTCCAGTGCCCGCCCTGTTGCCCTTGCATTGCAGCAGGCCCTGGGCCAGGAGTTGGCACGCGTCCGCCAGGGGAGTCCTGAGGTGACAGGTGTCACAGTGCGCCTCCTGCAGGCCATTGCCACCCTTCTTAGCTCCCCGCATGGCGGGGCCTTGGCTCTGGCCATGCACCGAAGCCACTTCCTCGCCTGCCCTCTAATGCGCCAACTTTGCCAGTACCAGGTGGGTGCATCTGTGGGTCCATCCTGTGGCAGAGTCTTGTGCCCCAGGGAGGCCATGTGGAGGAGGGGTTGCTCCCTGTGTTCTGGAACGCAGGGCTCCACCTGGCCTGGTGGGGCCCTCAATCCTCAGTCTGGTGCACTCTGAGCCTAGGACTTCTGTGTGTGAGCCTCCCCCAGCCCCACTCCTGACTGGGATTCCTGACACTGTCCTGGGGGCCTCGGTTTTGGCCTCTCAGTAAAGGGAGTACCCCTCCCATCCTTGGAGCTGGTGGTAGAGCCCCCACCTTTGCTTCCAGAGTTTTCCAGGGAGCAGAGAGGGTGAAGGGTGTATGTGCCCCACACCTGGACTCATCAGTGCTGCTATGTCTGCCTTATCTGCTCAGGCCCGTGTGAGCGTGTTTTGTTACTGGAGGGGCACACGTGTGTTTCTTTGATACTTCTCCCCTGAACCATATGAAGATAGGTTGCAAACAAGAGAGTGTCTGGCCAGCTGTGGGGCCTGGGAGGATCTCTGGGAGGCCCCAGTGCTCCCAGGCACTGTCAAGCATGGCAGGTGTGGGATGTTCCCAGCCTGCAGGGCCTGTGGTCTGGTCCCGGCCCGACTCTGGCCTCAGGGCAGTCTGAGTGCGCATGGCCACGAGCTGCTGGTTGTCCCACAGCGCTGCGTGCCCCAGGACCCTGGCTTCTCATCGCTCTTCCTCAAAGTGCTCATGCAGATCCTGCAGTGGCTGGAGAGCCCCGCTGGGGAGGGTGGGCCTCTGCAGGCCCAGCTCAAGCTGTTTGCCTCCCAGTACTCGGCCCGGCGCAGGATCAGTGACGGTGAGGGGCAGGAGCCAGCCAGCCGGCTCCTGCTCTGCCAGGGAGATGGCGGCCTTGCACAAGGGGTCTGTCGATTGTCAGTGGGGATGTGGCCGAGCGGTTTGGTGGTTAGGGCACTGGGGAGTGAAATAGGCTCCTGAGGGAGGACAGCAGCGTGCGTGGGACCTGAAGCCCATGAATTGGCAGTTCAGGGACTGTCAGATGCACTGGCAGGAGCTGGGGTAGCAGCCAGGCTGGCGGGTCACATGGACACTCCCTTGCAGTGCGGAGCGGTTTTGTGCACCTGGCGGAGGCTCTGGCATTCCGCGGGGACTTGGAGGTGGTCAGTTCCACAGTCCGAGCCATTGTCGCCACCCTTAGGTCTGGGGAGGAGTGTGGCGTGGAACCCGAGCTCATCGGTGAAGGTACCTTGGGGCTCCAGGCTGTGAAGACCCCCAGCCTGGCTTCCTAGTCCAGCTGCCCCTCTCCTGGGTGTCCCAGAATGTGGCCTGGGGGAACAAGCTGCAGGGCCCTGAAGCCCCCACCCAGCAGCATGGCCTTTGCCTGGGCTCTGCGTTTGGGGTTTCATGTATGTGAGGAGCCACACCAGTGACAGACTCACCCCCGTGACCTCCCGCGACCCTCCTAGCCGCTCACACTGGCTGGTCCCAGTCTGGGCATGCCTGGGCCTTGTTGGCCCCTAGCCTCAGGTGGCCTGGGGGCCCATGTGTCCTATCCCCAAGCTACAGCGACGCGGACCGCCCTTTCTGTGCCTCACACAGTGCTCCGGGGCCTGATCGAGGTGAGGTCGCCGCACCTGGAGGAGCTGCTGGCCGCGCTCTTCTCTGCCCCTTCTGCCTTCCCAGCCTCGCGGCCCACTGCAGTGGTGAGCTCGCTGCTGCTGCAAGAGAAGCAGGCATCCCCAGCTCCCGGGGAGCAGGACAGCAGCCACAGGTGTGCTGGCAGGGTGGCGGCCGGCCCGCTGAGTGGCCCTGGCTGGCCTCTCTGAGCCCACCCACCTGCCCTGCAGCCTGGAGGCCGTGCAGCTGGGACCTTGCTCTGGGCTCCTTGTTGACTGGCTGGAGATGCTGGACCCTGAGGTGATCAGCAGCTGCCCCAACCTGCAGCAGAGGCTCCTGTTCTCCCGCAGCAAGGTGGGCCTGAGCGTGGTAGGGCTGGGCCCTGCCTGGTGTTCACAGTGCAGGCGGCAGCCCCCACCGCCAAAGCCGTGTGTCTGCTAGCAACCCCAGCGGAGGGCACACTTCCTGTCGGTTCTGCCAGAATCTCTGGCCTGACTCTTCATCAGCCCCAGCGGGTCCCCCGCTTTCTCTGAGCCAGTCAAGGCTAGGACAGTTACAGGGACAACTGGCTATTAGAAGGGAGAGCAGAGTCCCCCATCCTTGATGAGGGAGGGATCTTCTGAGGAGCCCGAGCCCATGTGGGGCCCACAGCCCCTGCCCACGAACCCACGGTGTGTGAGAGCTGCCATCGCCTGCTTTCCATCTGTGGTGCCCCTGCAGCTTTTCTGGGGCCCCCTGGGCTCCAGGTGCTGGGGGAGGTTGTCTTGGTTTTGTTTACTTGCCTGCTCGCATGCGTTCCCTGTCTCTGAGGAGCTATTTCCACTCAGCACATGTTCATCTGTGGAGCTCATAGCTGGCCCAGTGTCCACATAGCTGAGGCTGCTTCCCAGCCAGGAGCTGCAGGCCTTAGAACGGCCCGTCTCCTCTGCTTTCTGGTGGCCCAAGTACTGACTCTCTTCAACATAGGCCATCCAAGTATCTTTCCTCCCCAGGGCAAAGGCCATCCTGGCCCCCAGGTGCCATCTTTCCGACCTTACCTCCTGGCCCTCCTCACACACCAGTCCAACTGGTCCACACTGCACCAGTGTGTTCGTATCCTCCTGGGAAAGAACCGTGAGCAGAGGTGAGCCCCCAGCCCCGGCAGGCCTGGCAGCTCCAGGCTCACTGTGGGCACCATGCTGGCTGCTGCCCCAGGTAGCTGAGTTCGGATGGCAGCATTGAGGGGACCTGCTCTGGGCGAAATGGGATGGCCCACTCTCCCCAGGCTATGTGAACTGTTGTTATCCACGCTGTGCTTCAGGGGTGCCACGTGCCCCTCGGCATGGCCAACAAGCCTGGAGGGTGGCAGGGCCGATGTTAGTCTTGTCACCATGAGGTCAGGTGAGCAGGCTGGTCCATCCACCAATGGCCCTTCCCTGGTGAGCTCCCAGGGAGGGGTGTTGACGGCACCGGCCTGTCACAGGGAGCACTCACCTGGCCTCTGTCTGCCCCACCTCCCTTTCACTCTGTGCACTCAGCCAGAGCTCCATGCTTCCTTCCAGGTTTGACCCTTCGGCCTCTCTGGACTTCCTGTGGGCCTGCATCCATGTGCCCCGTATTTGGCAGGGGAGGGACCAGCGCACCCCTCAGGCAGGTCTTGGGGGTTGCCTTGCCTCGCCGTATGGGTGCGCATACAAACCTGAGCCTGTCCCAGGCTGACAGGTGGGTGTGCCTGGTTGCAGAAGCAACGGGAGGAGTTGGTGCTGCGGGTCCAGGCCCCGGAACTCATTGGCCTGGTGGAGCTCATCCTGGCAGAGGCTGAGACCAAGAGCCAGGATGGGGTCACTGCCTGCAGCCTCCTCCAGGCTAGGCTGCCCTTGCTGCTCAGCTGCTGCCGTGGAGATGATGAAAGCGTCAGGAAGGTGACAGCGCACCTTACAGGCTGCATCCAGCAGTGGGGCGACAGGTGAGGGGGTGACGTGTGGGGTTTCCCCGGCCCACCCTGTGTCCTGCTGATGTGCCCAGAGGCTGCCCTCCAGTCAGAGTGCTGCCATGGGGAGCCCCAGCAGCAAGAGGCACCGTGGCCCTCTGCTCTGAGGAGCAGCTGCTGTGCTGGCCCCCAGCAGCCCCAACTGCTCTCTTCCAGCGTGCTGGGCAAGCGCTGCCAAGACCTGCTTACGCAGCTGTACTTGCAGTGGCCTGAGCTCCGCGTCCCTGTGCCCGAGGGCCTGCTGCACAGCGAAGGTGCCGCCAGTAGCAGCACCTGCAAGGTGAGGGGCTGGGGAGCCCAGATGGTGCCGAGAGGGTGCCCAGGGCTACTTCTGTGCTTTTGAGGTAGAAAGCCAAAGTAGGGAATGAAGAAATGCACTTTTCAGATTCAAAAATAGGACAGGAAACTGGTGAGCGGAGCTCTCTGCCGGGCATCTTTGGCTCAGTGTAGTTATTTCAGAATCTATATGGGCAGCACATTTCTTTCTGTGGTTACATGGTGTTTCACTGTGAGGCCGGACCCGCCTGCTGGGAGGGAGGCACGGGGGTCGTGTGCAGCATGGGGCTGAGACAGGCGCCACAGTGGGTGCTTGTGTGCAGGTCTTCGTGGCATCTGCCCACCTGGGCAGCCAGCGGTGGAGCACCGTCTGGCAGGCCTCGAGAGGACCTGCTGCCGGCCCCACTTGCCAGTACCACCGAGGGAAGTTGGTTTTCTCCAAGCCTTTCCTTCTATCTGTTATTCTGCATGTTCTTCGTTTAACAGCTGTCTTGGCCCATAGCCTTGAGGGCTTCTGTGTATTTGGCAGGAGGTTGACTCCAGATGCCAGGTGTGCAGATTGTGTGGGAACTGGCCATGGTCTCTGCGTGGCCAGGCCCTCAGGAATGGGGACCTCAGCCTCAGAGACCTGCACATTGCCCCTGTGGAGCGTTGTTGCAGTCCCCTGGGCAGTGGACTCAGTCTCCATGAGGCCGAGGGCTATAGGTGGCCCAGGGCCTCTGACCCCCACCTTCCCTCAGCTGGACAGTCTAATCCACCGTTTCATCACCCTCCTCGCGGACACCAGCGATTCCCGGTCGTCTGAGAACCGAGTGGCCGATGCCAACATGGCCTGCCGGAAGCTGGCTGTGGCCCACCCCATCCTGCTGCTCAGGTACTGCCTGGCTGTGCTGCCTGGAGCCCGGGTGGCCCGATCATACCTCAGGGTACCACAGCACCCTTCCCAGCCCAGCCCCAGCGGACTTCATGGGTCCTCAGGTCCTGCTCACCCAGCCGCATGTTTACAAACCGGTTGTGCAGCTTTTGCGGGGCTATGGTAGCTTTCCGGGACAGTTAGATATTTGGCTTCTTCCCATCAAGCTGAGCCCAGGAGGAGGGCCAGGTAGGCCCCAGACGAGAGTGGGTCAGGCAAATCCCCACTTCGTCACAGACCCAGAGCCAGGTAAGATGGAAGAGGCCCCTTGGGTGCATCCTAGGCTGGCAGCCTCAGCACATCTGGGATCCGGGACGTCAGGGACACAGCCCAGCCAGTGGGTGGCCATCAGCTCCCGGGGACGGGTGCAGAAGCCTGGGGAGCTCAGCCTGAATGCCTTTTAGAGCAGAGGGTCAGAGGTGCTGGTCTCGGGCCCCCCGTGGGCAGTCAGCAGCTCTGGGCAGAGGGCCATGAGTGCTCTCATCCTCCATCCTCTCCAGGCACCTGCCCATGATCGCCGCTCTCCTTCACGGCCGCACCCACCTCAACTTCCAGGAGTTCCGTCAGCAGAACCACCTGACCTTTTTCCTGCACGTGTTGGGCCTGCTGGAGCTGCTGCAGCCTCAGGTGTTTCAGAGCGAGCACCAGGGGGCGCTGTGGGACTGCCTGCGCTCCTTCCTGCACTTGCTGCTGGTGGGTGTGCCCGCTGTGGGGCGCACCCCTGGCCTGCACTCGCCTCCTGGACCTAACTGGGGCTGGCGGGTCTGTCACCCTCTCAGCCTGAGGCCCTCCATGAGGGCAGACGCAGAACATGGGACCCTGCCGGGGAGCGGGACCCCACTGGGGAGCAGGGATCAACCTGCATTGCAGCTGGGCTGCCCACCAGTGGCTTCTGCCACATGCCTCAGGGCCAGCTCTACCCCTGGGAGGCTCTGGCTCCTGAGGCTAGGGAAGCCCACACTGGGGCTCAGTGGGAGGGGGTGCCCTCCCAGCAGCTGCCCTGCCTCTGTCCAGCCTGTAATCCCTTGTCACACTCTTGGTGGGCACCTGTCTCACAAAGGACAAGGCCGTGTTTGACCCTTTAGAACCCTTAACATAGGCCTAGGGGCCAGCAATAACCGGTGGTAGTGGTGGTGCTGTGGGGGCCCTTTGTGAGGTGAGGCCCCTAGGGGAGCAGCGTGGGTGGGACGGTTTGGAGGGTCTCTGGCTGTCCCTCAGCTTGGAGTGTGGCGTGGCTTGACCTCTTTTGCAGAACTACAGAAAGTCCTCCCGCCACCTGGCCCCCTTCATCAGCAAGTTCGTGCAGCTCACGCACAAATATGTCACCTGCAACGCCCCGGCAGCCATCTCCTTCCTGCAGAAACACTCGGATGCGCTCCAGTGAGTGTGCTGCACGTGCGTTTGGCTGGTCCTCACAGGCTCCTGTCTGGCCGGGGTCGGCCTAGGGGCTGCGGGGAGGGTTGTGCAGAAGGCCACATGTGCACTCAGGTCTGGAGCTCCCAAGGCAAGCTGGCCATCAGGAGTCAGTGCTGCAGCCCGAGCCAGGGCCAGCTGGCGGTGGCTGCAGTGTCATGGGCCTATACACGGCAGTGCCATGGTCGGTGCTGGGCCTGCTCCGGGCTGTTCTGAGCTGACTGTGACTGCTGACCTCCTCCCACACCCGTGATGGCCCCAGCATCCTGCTGCCCCACCTGCCTTCCAGTCTGCAACATCTTATTCACAATCTCTGTTCTTCCCAGTGACCTCTCCTTCGACAGCAGTGACCTGGTGATGCTCAAGTCCCTCCTTGCAGGGCTGAGCCTTCCCAGCAGAGGCAGCAGAGCCGACCGAGGCCTGGATGAGGAGGGCGAGGGTGAGTAGGCCCCTGGGCTTCTGCTGGGAAGGGCTGCAGGCCTGGCGGTCCTTGGGACCAACCTGGCATCACCCCAAGGTTTATAGCACACGTAGAGCACTAAGAGGTGCACTGGCCGGCATGGCCGAGCAGCACCCTGACCTCTGCGGGAAGCCAGCCCAACCCCCTCTGCTCTCTGTTCTTGCCCTGCCTCCATCCTATGGACCCGGTAGTGATCTGGTGCCCACAGGCAGGGCTGCCGGGTGCTCAGCACACCCAGCTAGCCAGTGGGTGAAATAGTGAGTGAGCTGACTGACCCAGGCCCAGGTTGGTTGCTGGTCCCTTAACCGTTCGGCTGTCCGGTTTTGCCTGATCTTGTATTGAATGGGGTCCCAGCAGTCCCCAGATCGCTGGCCTGTGCTGCCCCCCTGTTGTGTGTGGGGCCACGGTGTGCAGGTGAGCAGCTGGAGGGGAGACACGCCAGTCTGCGGGGGGGCTCCCAGGTAGCTCCCAGCAGGCTTGTGTCATCACATGGTTGAGCAGGCACTGTACTGGGTACTGTGCCCAGCAGGATGGTAACTGCATCTTCCAGACTTGTGCGTGATTGTGGGGCTGCTTAGCAAGGACAGCCCTGACTTAAACCCGGATCTGGGGCCTTGGTGTTGAGTGGGCAGGGCATTCCCCTAGCAGAGGCCTGAGGCACAACTGCTCCCCTGGGCAGGCTGCTCCATGTCCCAGATGGGTCCCCCTGGAGTTGGCTGTCTTCGTCCCCAGCCCAACTGCACTGTTCCCTGTCTTCCAGATGAGAGCTCAGCAGGCTCCCTGCCTCTGGTCAGCATCTCTCTCTTCACTCCTCTGACTGCAACTGAAATGGCCCCCTACATGAAGAGGCTTTCCTGGGGCCAGACCGTCGAGGGTGAGTTTGGGAGCCTGGTGCCCCAGGCCAGGTTGGCCCCTTGGTGGGCTCCATTCTGCCCTGTGAATGGGACACCTGAAGAAGGGAGGCCTGGCTGTGGGCTGGTGGGTGGCTGAGGGGCCTAGCAAAGTCAGGCTGTGGAGTACTTTCTGGTGCCAGAGTACCTGGAAGAGGGGAGCCGTCTGGGGGGTCATGTGGCTTTGGGATGCCTTCAGAGCAGCTGGGAACAGGAATCGCGGAGCATGGTATAGTTGCAGATCACTGGTTTCCCAGATGTGCAGGAGGGTCTGGGTGGAGGGCGTGCCTCCAAAAGCTTTCTAGGCAACCAGTGTCCGTGGTTTGAGTCTGCTGGCCTGGTGGAACTGGGAAGCCACCAGAGTTCCTGGGGTCTCCATCCTGAGGTGCCAGCGGTCGGGGGAAGGGGACTTCCAGGCCCCACCAAGCACTAAAGATGGTGTGGAAGGTTTCAGAAGTCACTGGCACCAGTGTTCTCATCCTCCATGCTGCTCTGGGAGAGCCTGGAGTCCCTCTCCCAGAGCCGGTGTGGAGGCTAGACCGGGATAAGTCCTTGCCTGGGGAGTGTGGTGAGGGGCAATGGGACCTCTCCTGCCCTGGGTTGCTGGGAGCCTGTGCTCACGCAAGCCCAGCACTGTGGCCCTCACATGGCCTCTGCCCTCCCAGATCTACTGGAGGTGCTGAGTGACATAGACGAGATGTCCCGGCGTAGGCCAGAGGTCCTGGGCTGCTTCTCGGTGAGTGCACGGGCTGTGGAGTGCGGCAGGTCCCAGCTGCTGGCCTTCTCACAGCAGTGCTGGGCTCCTGCCAGCGCTTGGAGAACCCCGGGTGGATGAGAGGCTGGAATGGGTGGAGAGGCCCATGCAGGCCTTTGGCAGGAAGCCCACCCCGTGCCCTCGTTCCCACTGGGGGCCTGCAGAGCCTTCAGTGGGTGGGCTGCAAAGCTGGGGGCAGCTTGTGTCTGGGCCCAACCCTACCCCAGGTGCTCATGGAGGAGCAGGGAGCCAAGGCAGGCCAACCCCTCAGCTCTGGGCTGGACTCACTGACTGTGTGCTTTCTGCCCACGATCCTGAGGTCCAATGCTGTCCAGCAACAGGGCTAAGGACCAGGGAAAAGTCCCTTGCCAGCCCTCCAGCCAACCCAAGGCCAAGAGCCTGAGGTCTGAGGTTCGAGTCCTCAACCGGGGTCACCCTGGTAACACCCCTACCCTGACCCTGGCAGACGAGCCTGCAGCGGCTGATGAGCTCCGAGGAGGAGGCCTGCCGTACCCTGGCGTTCACCCTGGCCCTGCGCTCTGTCCAGAATGACCCCAGGTGAGCCTGGCGCCGCCACCCCTGGTGCCCTGACCAGGCTTTCAGCCTTGCCTACCCAGGGGCCCTAGGGCAGAGTCTGGGGCCCAGGGTGGAGGTGCCCACCTGAGTGCACGGCTCTTCTAGCATTGCAGCAGACTTCCTGCCCACATTCATGTACTGTCTGGGCAGCCGGGACTTTGAGGTGGTACAGACGGCCCTCAGGAACCTTCCCGAGTACACTCTCCTCTGCCAAGGTGAGTCCTGTCCACCCCGCAACCCAGGGGACCTAGGGCCTCCAGAAGCCTTCGTGCCTGTGCGCGGGCTCTCGCCGCGGCTCAGGTACCATAGGTCCTCATCTGCCCCCAGAGCACGCAGCCGTGTTGCTGCACCGGGCCTTCCTGGTGGGCATGTATGGCCAGATGGACACCAGCACCCAGATCTCTGAAGCCCTGAGGATCCTGCACATGGAGGCGGTGATGTGAGCCCGTTGACAGCTTCACCACGTGCCAGCCTGGGTCCCACAGCAGGTGGGCTGGGCCCCAGGCCAAGCCCAGCCAGCGTCTGGTACCCTGGTAGCCTCCCCTGGGATGGGGACACTGAGCTGCCCCAGGGTAGGCAGGCAGCACCCAGCCCATGGCCAGCAACTGGGTGTAGGGTGGTGGGGAGGGGGTGCTGTCTGCCCTGGGGGCTGCCCTGCCTGCAAGTGACGGGTCTGTAGCCCAGCCTGGAGGAGCTGCAATGTGGCTGAGGGACTGCTTTTCAATAAAATGTGCTGAACCTCTTGTGTGCTGGCTGCCTGGTGTGGTTCCCTCCCTTGAGACTGGGACTTGAGCAGTACGCGAGACGGGGTGAGCCTGCCTCTCCCCCACAGGCCAGCCTGTTCCCTGTGGGCACATGGGTGTGACAAGTGTCTGTCTCGAGACAGGAGAGCTCCTGCATGGATGTGCGTGGTCTCAGCCCCTTCTCCCTGCTGTCCCCCCATTTTCCCTATAGGCAGAATGAGAAGGGAAGGTAGCTGACAGTCCTGGGGCTTCTCCCTGGCGGCCAAGTTCCCTGCCCACAGTCTCCACCTCAAAGTAGCCATGAGGCCTCATCAAGCTACCGAGGGGTTCTGCCGCGGAGCAGCCCTTCAGGGCTCAGGCAGACCAGACTCCCCTCCCCACCCAAAGCGGCCATAGCCCTGAGACTCAGCTGTGGTTATATCTGGCCCACCTCAGTGCACTCTAGGACGGGGCCTGAATAGTTCCCACCCACTAGGACTGGGGAGCGTCCCCAGCAAGCTCTGGTTGCTCATGTGGGTGGCTCTGCCCTACACTTGGCTGGGGGTCTGGGGCAGGGTTGGGGGATGGGGTTGGTGCCCAGGAATCAGCTTGCATGAGTGCCTGGCCGCATGGGTGTCTCCAGGCCTGCTGTCTCACCTTTTATGGTGGACAAGGCCCCAGAGGCACTCTGGCACAGAGTTTGAGCAGAAGACTCCTGTGTCCACGCTGCTCCTGCCCTTCCAGGAGTCGTGCTGGCCGCCCAGGTTCCAGTGCACCCCCCAAGCAGGCTCCCTCTGTGCCCAGCCCTGCTTGGCTTGAGCCACCAGGGGGCGCTGTGTCCAAACTCTGGCTCAAGCCGTCCTGATGGGCGGCTGGTGGCCTGGCTCTGGGAGCCTGTGTGAGGTGGGGGGACAGGAGTCCTCTCCAAGTTCAAGAGGGCAGGACTGTGCTCCCCACTCTCACCCCAGAGATCCAGTGATGGAAGCAGGGCCCTGCCCATGGTCTCCCCTCCCGGGAGATGCAGGGAAGCACCCTTCAATCTCCCCCACTGAGTGCAGTGGCCCAGGGCACCCCTCCCTCCCTGAGGCCTGCCTTTCCCAGGCTCCCTGGCTTTCACCACCCAACCTCCCCAGCCCCTGGGCAATGCCCCTTGGCGACACCCCTGGTGTCCAAGTCTGCCCATTGCTCATGTGCTGCTCCTCTCACCCTGCTGGCTTGAACTGCCTCACTAGGGTACATGGAACTGGCCTGATGGCCCCTCCAGGGTTCGACTTCTGGCCCCCACCCCACCCAGAGCAAGATAGGCCCACACAGGCACCCTGTGGGCACCAAGCTGGCCACCAGGAACTGCCACAATTGGAGAGCCCCCTTTACATCACATGCCTTAGGATTCCATGGTACCTCCCACCTGAGTTGGGTAACCACCATGGGGGACAAGTGCTCTGAAGAGCTGCAACCATACCTGGGCCTGCACCCAGCAGGTGGGTGCTGCCTTCCCACATCAGGGCTCAGGGTCCAGGAAGGACCGGGCTGGAGCATTTGGCCTCTTGGCACTGGGTGTGAGGGCCCAGTGGGCAGAGGCAGCCCCAGCAGGGAGCCCTAGGATCCCCAACGCCAGGGCTGAACCCTAAGGAGCAGAGGCCAACCACATCCTGGGCCCTGTCCACCTGGGCCTTCCTACCTCACCCATGTGTGAATAGCTGCTCTGGCACATTCTTCCTAGGTCAGGAGGGCAAGGGCCAGGGGAGTTCCAGCAGCCCTGAGGCCCGCCTTCACCCAGGTGGGCAAGGACACACCCTGGCAGGGGCCTGGGAGGCATGGCCCCACATGGAGCAATTAGCAGTGCCTACAAAGGCCACACTTGCCAGCCTGGGTGCCACAGCATTTGTGAGGGGCAGGCCACGGGTGAGGCGTTGAATGAATGACGAGTGCAAGGCTGGGCCTGCTCGGAGCGGCACAGGCTCCATCACCCCAGTGGGAGTGCCTGAGATGGCCTCTGTTGCCCTGAGCCCGGCCCTGGTACACTCTCTGTTTGATGCCAGGAGACAGTCTCGAGGTGGGCCCCAGGCCCCAGCTGGTACTTGGCACAGCTAAGGTGTAGGTGTGGGGGCACCAGAGTCATAGTCTGCGCCTCTCATGCTGGCCATGCCTGCCCAGCCCTGGGCCTTGTGGTGTGTTGGGAGATGGAGCCCAGCAGTTGGGCAGATGGGTGCTTCCCAGCCAAGGTGTGGACAAGGGAGCATGCAGTGTGGCTGAGTGAGCCCCATCGGTGTCCCCATACCTCTCTGTGCGAGATCTGGTACAGCATGAGTTGAGTCCCTGCTCCATGCCCCTACCAAGCTCCAGGCCTGAACTTAGAGCTTCCACCCCCACAGGCCAGCTTCCCTGCCCACACTGCCAGCTCCCACTCCTGAGCTCTGCTCCACATCCCCTCCACCCCAGGGCCAGGTGCCTGTTTCTTGCTGGTCACTCCCTGCCAGATTGAGGTTGCTGGGGGGACCTATGTGTGCTGAGCATGGGAGGGAGGGAATGAGGCCCAGTCTTCTAGAGCCCCAGCCCAGGGCCTGGGGAGGGAGCACACTGTGGCAGGACCTCGCTGTCAGCCCTTGAGCCTGGGCTCCCCCCTGGGGGCTCCCAGTCCTGGCTCAGAGCAGCCCATGGCCTGCTGAGTCCCATGAAGTTGGCTGGGATCGTGGACTGGGTGTGGAAAGGGAATCCTAGAGTGTCAGGAAGGTGATGAAGTGGGATGGGGGATGGAGCCCACTGGGGTTCTAGCCCAGAGCTGGTGACCCTGGGCCTCGGAGCTCCCCTCTCTGGGCTTCATGTCTCTTGGTAAGGGGCTGCACTGACCTGCTGACATGGAGACTCAGGTCACGTGGGCTGAGGTGTCCCAGGTGAATACACTGGCGGGGTGGGTGGCTGGATGCGCCAGCCTGTCCCAGGTGGTGATGGGCATCCCGTCGTGCTGGTACAGCACTGGCACACACCAGGCCTCAGGAGCCCTGCCATGACCCCTGGAGGACAGCGCCAGCTCCAGGGCAGAGTGGGCAGCCCCACAGAAGACATGGGAGGCCTGTTTTGGTCCTGGACAGATCCATGGGTAGACCTGGAGTGCATGCAGCAGGCAGCCTGTGTAGGCAAAGGTGTGCAGGTCTGAATGACGGTGCTGGTCCCAGCAGGGAAGGGGAGGATATGGATGGCCCAGTGGCCCTGGCTGTTACCCGTGCCCTGCATGCCCTCTCTGGTCGTCTCTGATTGCCTCAGCTTCTCACATGTGGCCAACCCTCACAGAGCCATTGGACCCAGGGACCAGCCACGGGGAGGGGACACTCAACAGGACCCTAAGCAGGGGTTCCTGCCCTTCTGGGATCATTTCCCAGTGGTGAGCTCTGGACAGCTGGATGGCCCCAGGGGGATTCCCATGCAGGCCCGCAGGCCCCCTTCTCTCTGGGAGAGGGGAGGCCCGCCTGTTGCCAAGGCCAGGCAGCCTCTGGGCTTCCTTCACCAGGTGGGGAGGGGTGAGGTGTTGCCGTGGTGATAAGCTCACCTGCTTCTTACAGCCTCAGAAGAAACACCTGTCTTCATTTTCACTTCTGGGAAGGGGTAGGCCCTAACCTTCAAACAGGCCAGACTGCCTGCAGCCAGGCAGAGGGCTGAGAGAAGCACAGTCAGCCTGGGACCCTGGGGCCCTGGGTCTCCCCATGAGAGCTCCCCAGGGCTGGATGCCCACATTCCCCCCAGGAGGCTTCTGTCCCCTTTGTGCCGATGAGGGCGAGAGGCTCTGAGTTGCCCTGAGATACCCAGGGTGGAGCTGTTCCCTCTGAGCCAGTTAGGCTGGGGCAGGTGGAGGTGGAGTTATTTCAGGTGTCCCAGCAGAGCAGGTGTGGCCGAGGCCTGCTGGCCGCTGCCTTGCTGAAGAAGGGCCTGTTAGGAACACTCTGGGGAGCTCTGGCAGCTGGGAGTACAGTTCTCACTCAGAGCCCTCGGCAGTCCAGCCCAGGCTGGGCCCCAAAGGAACCGAAAGGTGGATTCTACAAGGCCCATGCCTGGGGAAGTTGGGAAGTACTGTTCAGAGAAAGTGGAACGTCAAGTGCGTCTTGAAGGATGAATAGGAGTTTTCCAGGTGAGGACTCCATTCATCAGCCTGCAGCTGGGGGCACAGGGCTCTCATCTGCCATCATGTGGGTGGTGAGCCCAGCCCTAGTTTCCTGATGGGGTGGTCCTGGGAAAAAGTCTGGCCTGGAGGGGACTGTGAGGCTTGGTGGGAGCAAGGGTGGGCCTGGCACAGTGGGGTTTGGTGGGTGTTTGTCTGGTGGATAGTCTGGTCCCAGCTGCCCCCGGTAGACAGCAGGCCCCAAAAGGAGGAGTTGTAGGGAGCCACTCCACCGCCCCGGGAAGTTTGGTCCCCACCCAGCAGCCCAGGGTTATGTGGCCACACAGGGAGAGGATCTGGGTTAGGGAGCAGCTGACCCTACCTGCTGGGTGTGCTTGGGCTGCTGCTGTCAGCCTCCTGAGGATGCCGAGTTGGCTGGGGTGCTGTGGGGAGGTGGCTGGGTCTCAAAAACCCCTCAGGCCCCTCAGCCCTGGTCAACACTAGAGGTGCCACATCAAGGGCCCACAGGCCAGAGTTTCAGCCAGGGGAGCCTTTGGGATAGCAAAGAGCAGAAGGAGGAGCTGAGGGGCCACCAGGTCAGAGGCCAGAGTGCAGGTCCCCCACCCTGGGTTCCCCTTGGAGTCTTTGTATTCTACCTCCTGGAGGCCCCATTCTGCTCCCTTGAAGGCTGGGGCAGCCTCGTCTGACTTCTCACTCCCAATCTAGGGATGGGGAACACAAAATACAGATACGCCAGGGTCTGAGGCCAGCTTGGCACTCATTACCCTCTCCAAACATGTCTCCACATCTGTAAAATGGGCATGAAGGTAACACCAGAGTCTCAGAGTAGCGTCAGCACTGGCCCACACAAAGTGCTCAGTGAGGGGCGGCTGTCACCATGGCCTGTTTGTGTACAGGGGGGCTGTGATCTGGTCAAGGACACAGCCATCAGAGGTGGGACTGGGCTTCTGCCCTGGTCCTGCTGCCTGGCCACCCCCCAACTCCTCACACTGTTTACCAGGAACAGGTAGGGCTGGGCCCCCATTACAAGGGGTTTCTATAAATGGCATGGGGAGGATTAATAATGTATTTATAACACATCGTTGTCGTAGCTGAAAATGATCTATAAATGTGCAGTAAATGTTTTATAATGTTTTTGTAACCCGTTATAAATGATAAATGGCAGACTATAGATGCTGGATCAAATATTTATAACACATTGTGTGCAACGTTGGGCCGCTACAGTTCAGGAAAGCCATTAATAATAAAGTGGATGGAAATGTAAAAGTTACCGACATGCCCAGCAAAGCCATTTATAATGAAATGTAAAATTTGGCTGTTGGAAGCAACCCATGAGTCCCTGCCGAAGCACCAGCCAGGTTCTCCTGGAGTCTGGGAGGAGCGGGGTCGTGAATTATTTGTGAGGTATTCAGGCAAGAATGTATACTATCCATAGTGTGCCATATAAATATGCTATTAATATACCCGAGGCTGCATACATTATTCATCAGGCCTAATTAATTAATGGGTGGTCCCTCGAAATGGGGTGTCACTGCTTCCAGCTCCCTGCAGGGATGGCTGTCTGAGAGAGCCATTGGCAGACCTGACCATGGCCTTGGAAATTGAGGGAGAAGACATTCCTTGGACATTCTGTGGTGAAGCCAGTGTGACCCCCATCCATCCTTCCTGTGTAGGTGTTGAGGGGACTGTTGTCCAGTCTGGGGGGTTCTGCCCATGTCTCTGGCTACCGTGATGGGCTGGGCAGGGAGCTGAGTTTCCACAGGTCAGCCCTGGTGCCATCATCCCTAAATGCTCAGGGACCAGGGCCCCATCAACAGTGAAGATGAGGCTCAGAGAAGTGAGGAGGCCTCCTTAGAGTCGCAGGGCAGACCAGTGTCTGAGCGAGGATTCCAGCTTGGTGCACTGGTCAGGGCCTTTGTGTGAGCCAGGGCTCCCGGTTCTGTGCCACGCTCCTGCAGCAAGGGTTCTGCAGACAGGCTGGCTTGGGACCCCTGCGCCATGTGACCACTCCCTTCAGAGTCATGGTGTGCGGCAGGAAAGCAGCCTCTCAGAATCCTGCAGGACAGGCCGCGTGGGCTGGGGCCCTCCCTTTATTCTCCACCCCCTACCACTACCACCCCACTGCTCTCCCTCTCCTGTTTCTCCCTCTCTGCCTCAGAGGCTCAAGGCACCACCAGGTCTGCTGTGTTTGGGAAAGGGACCCTGATTCTGCTACAGCTTGGTCCATCAGCCTCGGTCAAATAAGTTACTTGGGTTTGAACCCACCAGAGGAAGGATCTTCAGACCCCACTCCTCCACTGTGAGACCTCCTAAGGGCCCAGAAGACATCATGTTCTCCTGCAGCTAAGCTGATGAGCAGAGCTGGCTTTTTTGATGAAAATCAGTGATGCCTCCCTGGGTCCCCAGCACTGTCCCTGTCAGACTGACTCCAGGAAGGGCCCTTCCGTCATCTCAGAGGGCAGAATATGTGCTGGAGCGGGAGGTGGGGGGATTGACACTGCCTGGCCTGGCCTGAACAGCCTGCCCTGGATGGGGCAGCCCCTCAGGCAGGGCCCTGGCCTGGGCTGACCCAGGCTCCATGGGCCCTCACCCCTTGGCAGGGCTGGGCTCCTCCATTCTAGTTTTGCCTGACTGACCAGCTGGTCTCCTCTCTGCTCAGGACCTCAGTTTCTTGAGCTGCAAGGCAAGTGGGGTCCACCCCCTTTTAAAAGGGTGGCTATAGAGGCTGGAGTGGAGCCCGGCTGGGCCCTGCCCCTCCCCAATCCCTCTGCTGCAGCCATGTGCCTTTCTTCATCCCTCGGTGCTCAACTGTGCCTTCATTCCCACCACAGGGCCTTTGCATGTGTCTTCCTTCTGCCTGGGAAAGTCTTCCTTGCCTTTGACAAGTTGATTCCCACTTATCTTTCAGGTCTCCTTTCTTAATGTTCCCTCCTCGGCCTTCTGGATGGCACTGCGGTGTGTCCCCTTGGAGTGCTATCCCATTTGTGTATGTGAATCAGTCAGGGTAAGAATACTGGCTGGCTCAGGAACAAATATCCCAAAGTTCCAGCAACTGAGCCCAGCCCCCCTTTATTTCTCACTCACTCCACCTCCACCTGCGGCCTGTCACCTGGTAGGTCTTTGGCATCCAGCCAGCAGGCCAAGGAAGATGAAGAGTCTGGAGGTGTATACACCAACTTCATTGGCCAGAACTCAGCCACATGGCCCCACCTCCTGCAAGGGAGGTTGGCAGATTTGGTCCAGGGAGAGAAATGGAGTGTATAGGTCCTGGGGCAGGAATGTAGGTGTCCAGGGCAGTCATAGGAGGGGAAGAAGAGGAGGTACTGACTCAGGGGAGGGTTGGCTGGCCCCTTAAAAGGACTGCCTTCCTATGTGTGTAGTGGGGGAGGATCCAGAGAAGGCGTTTGAGCAGGGGGTGGCATGCTCCCGTTCCTGTTATTAAAGAGTTTGTGTTGAGAACAGGTGGCTGGGCAGAAACAGAAATGCAAGCTTACACCAGGAGGTAGCCCTGGAGGTGGTTCCTGCCAGATCGGATGTGGGCAGTGAGAGGACAGGGCAGGAGCACCCCCAGGCTTGTGGCCCAAACATCTGGGAGGAAGGAGTGCCATGGAGGACTGGTGGCTGGCTGTGGGTGGGGCTGACTTGGGGTCATGGAGGAGGGGGTGAGTGCAGGGGCAGAGGCTCTGAGGCCAGAAGGGGCAGTGTGGGGGTGGGTGGGAAGGGCGAGGCCAGGGAGCAGCAAGGGCAGGTAAGGCTGGGAGGCATGATAAAGGGCCTGGACTTTATTCAGAGTGCTCAGAGGCCAAGCAGGGAAGGGCTTGTCTGACTGGCTTTTCCAGAAGGATCCCTGGGCTGCTGCAGAGGAGTGGACTCTGGTGGCCAGAGAGCAAGCAGTGGGAGAAGTGGGCAGACCAGGGTGTCCTTAGTTGGGGGCCCTGGAGAGCAGCACAACATGGCGTGTGTGTGGTGCTGATGGGGACACCACCCCACTCGGTGCCTCCTAGGTCACTGTCCCCAGAGGCCATGGGGTGGCTGGTAGGAGTGAGAGTGAAACAAACCCCTAATCATGGAGCTCCAGCCCTTGCTCTGCTGTTCCCTCCAAGGAAGGTGGGTTGCCAACCCTGTCTGACTCTTGTTCACCCTGAGGCCCCACCACCACCAGTTGGTCTTTCCTCACTGGCTTTTCCAGTTCTCCGAACTGCTGCCCTGGGGGGTCAAGCAAACCCAGCTGGTTCCTGGTTCTGGGATCAGCCACCAGCCCGGCTGAATGGCATGACATCGCCCTTCGTTCTCTTGCTGGGAGCCCCCAGCAGGTCAGGACAGCGACCATCCCAGGTTCCCCTCCTGCCTGTCTAGCCCCTGCTTGCATGTCCCCTGTGACGGGGAGCTCATCATCTGTTCCCAGGTCTCACTTGCTGTGGGCTGCTGGCCACTCCTCAGGCCCAGCTGCAAGAGAGAGCTGGGCTGCCCTGTGCTGGCTTTGGGCCAGGAGGCCTGCTCCAAGGGGGCATGGAGCAGCTGCCCTGTCACCTGCAGGGGCCACTTGCGGAAAGAGCCCTTCTTCCTAACAGTGGGCCTGTCTCCACAAGCCCGGGGGCTACGTGGCCAGGCAGGTCATCTCACATTTCTGGTCAGTGACTTTGGTCCATAGTCCAGAGATACTTTTCCTTAATTACAGGTCACAGATGCTCCAAGTGGGAAACCCCGAGGGGGCTCCTGTCCTGGAAGTGACTGGGGTGGACAGGCCCGAGGAGGGGAAGACCTGGGTGAGCACCCCCGTCCCCACCAGCTGGGCCACCCAGGAATAGCTTCCCTTCCCCAGCCTCAGCTGCCTGTTCAGTAAATGTGGCGGGTGGTCCCTGCCTTGACCAGTACACCCGCTGGCGTGGGAACCCAGATGGGAAAGTCCTTTGAAAACGCAGAAATACGAGAGGTGTTCTGGTCGTACTGGGGGTCCCGGGAGGTCAGCCTGGCTCCACCACTTCCTAGCTGCGTGACCTCGACAAGCCTCGGTTTCCCCGTCTGTAAAGTGGCCTTCTTTGCACGTCCCCACGGTTGCGGGTGGGGGAGTAACGGGGAGGCGTTGAAATGAAAGGAACTCCCGAAGCCACCCTGGGAACCGGAGGACCGGAGGACCGGACCCCAGGGCGGGCACTGCCCATTCCTCGGGCTGCGGCAGGAGGGACGGAGGTGGGTGTGGGCGGGGCGGAGTCTGTCGCGGGCAGGGGGGCGGGCTCGGCGTGCGCGGTGTGGGGGCGGGGCCCGGTGGGGCGGGACCTGTCTGCGGAGGGGCGGGGCCTGTCCGGCGGCCGGCTCGCCCTCGGGCTCACTGTGCGGCTGCGGCAGCTCGGCCCCGGGCGCTCGGCTTCGCGGCACCGGCTCCTGCCCGGGCGCGCGCACCTCGCATGGCGGCTATCAAGGCGCTGCAGCAGTGGTGCCGGCAGCAGTGCGAGGGCTACCGGGACGTGAGCATCACCAACATGACCACGTCGTTCCGCGACGGGCTGGCCTTCTGCGCCATCCTGCACCGCCACCGGCCCGACCTCATGTGAGTAACCTCCGCCCCGGCCGCTCCTCAGGGGGGCCGCCCGCCCAGCCGCGCTGCCCAACCGGGACATGTGCCGCCCGCCGCTTAGTCACTCTGTGACTCAGGCCGGCGCGCGGGGCCGCTGCTATCGCCTCCCACCCTCCCTTCCGGGCTCTCTGAGCCCCTCGCTGCCTGGGACCCGCCCCCTGATGGTGGGGGTCTCGCTGGGCTTCAGGCGTGGTACTGGCCCTCTCCTGCCTGTGGGGCCCCTTAAGAATGAGGGCCGGGGGCGCGAGGGAGGGGCCGACTCAGAACTGCAAGTGCAGACCCCCGGGTCTTGTGGGCCAGGCCTCCACACCCTAGGGCCAAGGGGCGCGAGATGGTGGCTGCGCCCCTTCCCTGGGAGCCAAGGGGAGGGGACCGGTCGTCACCCTGCAGGAGGGTCTTAGAGTCACGGCGGGTGGCTGATCCTGCCTTGTTGCTGGATCTTGTCCCCACCTGGACCTGCTCCTTTGGTTATTCACTCAGCAAACACTGGTTGACTGGGACCCAGCTTTCTGGACAGAGCTTTACCCAGTCAGGCCCAGGCCCCTGCCTCACCGGCCTAGGTAAAGCTGCAGGGCAGAGTGCCTGGCTGGGTGGGTGGTGGCTCAGAAAGCCTGTCTTCCGGACTCCAGCTGCCACTCAGGTGCCTTCGGGAAACTGTAATATTTAAAAACGTTCTCCTGGGAAGCCAGGGGTGGGGTGAGTGCACATTTGCTAGAGAGGTCTTGCTGTACAGATGGGGAAACTGAGGCCCAGGGGGAGACACCCTTGTTCAGAACGCAGAGCACACCAGGCAGAGCAGGAGTTGGCACTTGGGGCTCCTCCCCTGCACCCAGGTGTCCTCTGAACTCCCAGGGACTGGCCCCAAGCACCACTCTCTACAGGGAAGCTAGTCTTGAGAAAGAGGCCTGCACGTATTTCCTCCTGCTGCCCAAGGTTGTGAAATGCATCTGTGGAGCCTCGAGGGGGTCCCCATGTGGTATTTAGGCTGCAGTCTCTGCTCCCTGCCCAGAGATGTGCCTTGGTCGCCTTGGAGGCAGAAGGCGTTGGGCAGAATGTAATTTTGTGAGTGGGCCCGGGACAGGAGACTGGCAGGCTGCACCTCAGGGTGCATGCAGGGTCCCGGGTAAAGCTGGCGGGACCAAGCCCCGGAGCCTGCACTGGGCCAGCATGAGAAGTCAGCAACTGGAGGGCAAGTTGGTGTGGCTGTCTGCCCACCCAGCAGCCTTGGGATGTCAGCATGGGGGTAACTGGAGATCTGGGGCCTTGCCGAGACCTGGGAGCTTCTATCTGCTCCCGGCTGTGCTGGGTTAGAGGCCTGGGTGTGTGTGCATGTGCCTGTCCCAGCACGCATTGCCTGAGGGGGAACACTGGCATGCACATGTGGGTGTGCCCAAGTGCTGGCAGAAACAGACGTCATATAGCTGTTCATTTAACCGTTACTGAGCGCCTGCCCTGTGCTTGGTATGATGCTGCATGCTGTGTATGATCGCCTTGACTCCTGCCTCAGGGAGTGACATGTGGTCACAGGGACAGACAGTGAACAGGTAAGTAAAAGCTCAAGGTAGCTCCAGAGAGTGGTGAGGGCTGGGGCAGAGAGGAAGAGGAGGAGGCCACCCACCCACTTTGTTACATGTGAGCATCAACTTTTCTTACTGCCAACTTGGTTATTGTCCACTTGCCCCGCTGGACTTTCAGCTCCAGAGGAGTAAGGACGTCCAACTGCTTTGTATGCTGCTATGTCTGCAGTACTTGGAACCATGTCTGGCACACAGCAGGGCTCGGTGTTGGACAGCTATAGATAAGGGCATGCCCTTGGAGCTCAATAGATGTGATAGGAGTTCGGTTGGTTTCACTGCAAGGTGGGGAGGAGGCCATGTGACCCCAGAGGTGGAGATTGGAGTAATGGGGACATAAGCTGAGGAATGCCTGGAGCCTCCAGAAGCTGGGAGGGACAAGGAACAGAATCTCCCCAAAGCTTCCAGAGATTCTTGGCTGACACCTTGAACTTGACTCCGGACCTCCAGAACTGAGAGGGGACATGTCTCTGTTTTAGGCTGCTGGTTGTTCAGCACAGCAGTCTTGGAAAGATTGCACACATTTGATGTACAGTGGGGTGTAGTAGGCGCTCCAGACCCTGGCTGATGGGACGCCGTGAGTGTAATTGGGAGTGTGTGCTTGGCAGTGTGGGCACATGTCTGTCCACCTGCCCCAGCCTTTTGTCCTGCCTGTGTTCTGTGTCAAGCACCCCTCCCCTCCCTCTGGTCCCTGCAGTGCATCTGGGCAAGTTGGGGCTGATGGGGTCTTACTGCAAAGCCCTGTGGCTCCCCCACCCCTGCAGGGGGGCAGGAAGGGAAAGAAGCACAGGGTGAAAGGCAGGTGCAGGGTGCTGTCCTCTCAGGGCCCCGAGGTCAGACTTGGGGTGAGACCCACCCCCACACCGCCTGACCTGTGAAGCCTGCCTGTTGGGTAGCAGGAAAGTGAACATCCTGTCTCCTGACTTGGCCACCAGGAAGTCCTTCCCTTTACTTCATACCAGTCCTTCCTGCTGCATGTGAGCTGTTTCCTGGTGGCCCTCTCCGACAGCAGCTGTGAAGGAGCTGGGCTTGGCCTGGAGCCAGCCAGGTGAGGGCTGGCAGCTGCGACGCTAACTCCAGGTTCTGTCTCTGCGTGCCCTGGTCTGGGAGTTCACCTGTGACCCGCTTTGGTGGCCCCTCGGGGACCTGGTTGAATCCTCTGCGGGCCAGGAGACAGGCTCACCTAGTGAGGCTCCTGGCCTCTCCAGCTGGTTGGCCCCGCCTGCCACTGCTGTCACTTTTCTGTAGGAGTCTTGAGGGGGCCGCCTGTTTCCCCAGTGACACCACATCAGCTGAGCAGCCAGGTTACAGTAAGAACACCCTGAACAGCCGGGCCCCTGCCTCCTGGGACTGACCTGTCAGGGCTGGAGCGTGTGGCCGCGCTCTTTCCTTCCGCCTGACCAGGAGGGCCCGAGGCCGCCAGGGGCCAGGCAGCGAGGGTTGGCAGGCGCCCTTCCTGGCAGCAGGCAGAAGCCTTGGCTTTCTTGGGATTCTGCCCCAGGGGTGTTTAAGGAAGGAGGGCCAAAGCAATGAAGGCTGGGCCGTTTGTGGGGGCCTGGGGTTGAGGGCAGGGTATCAGAAATCGGGTCTACTGGGCCTCCCCACCCCTGTCCTGCAGGTCCCTCCAGGCCCCTCAGCTTGGGAAGCTGATGTCAGGGCTGCGGCCAGAGCAGGGGGCAGTTCCCTAGCATAGCAGGGCTCCCTGAGGTGTGACCGTTGTGGGGGGCCAGGGGGACTCCCCCAGGAAGCCCCTAGCATGAAGCTGGGACGCAGCACCGTTTCCCTTTCTGGGCCAGAGCAGGGGGTGGGCTGGGCCAAGCAGCCTGCCTTGGGGCAGCAGGAAGTCACCTGGGGACAGAGGCCTTCTGTTCTCTGGCCTGAGGGCCTGCTGCCCAGGCCCCTGCTGTGCCTTCCAGGCAGACTCTCCAGGAGTGGGGGTAGGGACTGCCAGCCCAACTCCTTGGGACAACCCATCCCAGCACCCGGTGATGTTCCCCTCAGGCCACCATGGGAGGCCCAGGGCTGTCCTGGCTGGGCCTGCTCCAGGTCCGGGGTGGGGGGCAGGGTCTGCTGTAGCCTGGCAGCCAAGGTGGAGGTATCCCAGTAGCCCACCAGGTTCAAGAAGGTGGGGGCCCTGAGACCTGGCTTTGTGCCTGCCTAGGACCCTCCCCTGCGTAGGCCTTAGTGAGCCCCTTCCTTGCTGGCCTTCTTTCACCCCTGCCTCAGTGCCTCTTGCCCTGGCCCCACTCTCCACTTCTGGCCTCTCCCCCTTGTCTCTGCCCCTCTCTCCTCTGTCAGGTCTCTGTCTCTCCCTCTCCCCCTCTGTTCCCTTCCCTTCGGGATTAACTCCAGATGTGCTGGAGATGCCTGGAAAAGCCTTTTCCTTCAGCCCCCTCCCAGCCCTGGTCCACCCCCACCCCACCCCCACCATAGTGGAGCACTTGGTTCTAGGAAGTAAACAGCATGAGGTCAGCTCTCCAGGAATTTGGAAGGGGGTACACATTCCCAAGGGCTGCAGAAAGCTGGGGGCAGGGGGCCAGCTGGCTTGACCCTCTGAGGTCACTGGCTGTGGGCAGCATGGCCGGTGGGGAGGGCAGTATCCCAGGCTCTTTCACTCAGGCCAGGCTAGGCTGGCACATGCTGAAGTGGGGCAGCAATGGGCAGACCGCTGACCCAGTGAGTGCCTTTGTGCAGCTGTTGTTGAAAGAATAAACTAATGCCACAAAAGTCCCTACTCACCAGGCAGTGGGCACGCTAATTCCTCAGCATTTGTAGAGCACCACTATGTGCCTAGCTCCATGGCAGGTGCTTGGGGTCATAACGGAATGTAACTGACTGAACGACAGAACTGGAGGAGAGAGATGCCCCAACTTGGGGTCCCTGCCCACCCCTGCACCCTGCAGGCTCTCTGCTGAGGGTGGTAAGCTCATGCATTCTGGTCCTGCAAGGCCTTGACACAGGCTGGCCACCTCCCCCAGGGTCAGCCGCCTCCCCAAGGGTCAGTCAAAGCTGGGCTGTCAGTACGCTAGGCTTACCAAAGGGCAGAAAATGGGGTGACCTGGGTCACTGAAAAGCATGGCCTCATGGTTTAGTACAGGCCCTGCTGGGTGTGGGTAGGGGGCTCCTTCTGGGGCTGTGGGGGGGGTCTGCTCTAGGCTTTGGTTCTGGGCTTGTAGACAGTGTCCCCCTCCACATGCATCCCTGCCTCCAAACATCCTTTTGTATAAGGACACCATCTGTTTTGGGTCAGGGCCGTCTTCATGGCCTCACGTTAGCTTGAGTCTCTCTGTAAAGACCAGTCTACAAGTAAGGTCACTCCTATGCTCCCCGGGTCAGGACTCCACCAGTTCTTTTTTTGGGGAAGGGGAGCTGTATCCCACCAGGGGTCCTATCCCCCCGCCCTGCTGGCAAAAGGCTGGCATGTTGGACTTCCTGAGAGGGATGGGCAGGGCGTCTGTTTGGTGCTCTGAAGGGATTTGTGAAGTAGCCTCGATCGTGCAGTGGGGTGAGCGTGGGGGGTGGGGACCCACAGGGTGCCTCTGTGAAGGGCCTGACAGGGTGTCAGAGATGGGAAAGGGGGTTCTGTGCATAGGGACCAGCGCGAGCCAATGTCCTGAGGCCAGGAGGGGGGCTAGTCATTGGGGAGCTGGTCCAGGAGGGGTACATTGGCTGGGACTGCAAGGTGGGGCCTTGAGGACCCAGGGAGGAGTGTGGATGGGTCCTGGGGGGGATGGTCCCTGAGCCAGGGGAAGGGCAGTTCTGCAGCCACTGATCTGACACCGTGGACCCTGCCAGGAGTGTTGGCACCACTGTCACAGGCCTGGTCCACCTGGAGTTCTGGCTCTGGGTCTGGAGGAAGAGAGGGCCCTAGGGTGGGCCCCTGATCCACAGTGGAACACTGGCAGGGGTAGGCCCCCTTCTGCTTGTTTGGAGACCAAACAGAGCATGCTCTCTGCCTTCCTGGCACAGGGCATCTTACCGAGGACATGGCTGTTCCGGTCAGTGACCTGGGGCACGTCTGGAGAAGAGATGAGCTTTCAAAGGGGTGGGGGTGGGGTGGGGTGGGGTCCCTGGCACTGAGGACAGAGGGGCTGGTGGGCTGAGAGACCCCTGGGGTGTCAGACAGAGACCAGCCAGGCACATGCCCATGGGAGTTGCTGGGGTAAGCCCAGGGTGCAAGGGGTTGGCTGGCCATGCTGACACCCTTCCTGCTCCTTCTGGTCCTTTGTCCACCTGCAACAAAGCTCCCACGCCTTGTCCTGTGCTCAAAAGCATGCTGTGTGCTCGTGGGTGGTCTAAGCATCTGGAACACGTTACCTGGGAGGTGGTCCAAGCGGAAATGGTGAGGTTTCCCTGAGAACTGGGCAGGTTGATGGACGACAGGGCTGGAGGTGGACAGGGCCTCCTGGAGGGGGTGAGCAGACCACAGGCGTGACCCGTTCCCACTCCCTTGTGTGGCCCCTCCCTGCCCACTCCATTTCCTCATTTGTGCAATATGCCGCCCAGGGTCAGGGTGGCAGGTCTGTGTGTGAGGGCTCAAAGCCAGGCTGCAGGGTCTTGCCCCTCACTGCCCCCCCCTGCCCCCAACTGAGACCTGCTGCCCTTCGTGGCTGTTGAGGCCGGGGCCATCAAATTCACCATCAGGAGCTGCTCAGACAGGGATACTGGGTCAGCCTGTGTGAGCCGAGACACGGCTCTCAGCCTGAGCCGTCTCCTGTGCTGTGAAGCTTCCCAAACAATCCAGTTCATGACAAAGGGCCGAAGCTGTCTTCAGGACCCCACAGACAGTGATGAGAACAGGCAGACAGATCCATATTTAACCAGCCCTCCTGGAAATGTCAGCCCGTGTCAGCCAGAGTGTCCTACCTGCCGGGGTCCAGCTGCGTTTTCTCTGGGAGTGTCCTTTGGGGTGCCTGTGTTCCGTGTGTGCATGGCTTCCCTGGGCTGGTGCAGGCTTCTCTTTCCTTTGGGAATTATCTCTGTGCCCTGCGCCCCTGCAGGAAGGCTGCAGTCCAGGAGGCCTGGGGTCTCTGCCCCTGGGATGCCCTATACCCCTGTGGTCCAGGGTGTATGTGGGCCTGGAGCTCTGATAGTCTCAGCTCTGAGGTCTGCCCCCACTCAAGAAGATGCTGGGCACCTGGTGCCCCACTCCCGAATGAGGATGCTGTGTCGAGGCCTGGCTGCTGGGCGTGGCCTGGCTTTGGCCGTGTCTCCCTGCTGTGTGACCCCAGGCAAGTCAGTGGGATCCTCTGGGTGCCTCAGGCTCCTCGCCCAGGGTTTAGATGTGGATAGCATCTGCAGGTGCGGGTGTATGTTTGTGAGGACCGAGAAGGGCACTGCTTGAGGGGTTCTGGGTGCACAAAAGGAGGAGGCAGGGTCCTGGCCAGTGGACAGCATGGAGCTCCCGCACATTGGCCCTGGGAGCCTCTTGTGACCCACTGTCTTCTTAGCCTGAGCCGTCTCTCGCACTGCGAAGCTTCCCAAACAGTCAGGGACATCACCCTCCCATGACCCACCAGGCCCATGAGCTTCTCAGGGTTTGGGAGCAGCCTCTCGGAACTGTGCCCCTGCTGGGCTGCCCATGCTGGTGCTTTGCTCTCTGGGCCTGCACCCGGCCACCTCTGCCTGAGGAGGGGCAGTGGGAAGGGCTCAGCTCCCACAGGGCCCAGAGGTGAGGGCTGTGGCTTCAGGGCTGACTGTGCTGGCCGTGCCCAGGTGACCCGAGGGGCTGAGCAGCTTTGCCCAGCCAAGAGCAGGGCCAGAGCCCTGGGTGCCCAGCCTGCCTTCTTTGGGCCGCTGTGTGACCTCCATCCCAGCACCCCCACTGGACAGTGTGACCTCTGAGGCCCTCCAGCCCCACCCTTTTTGGATGCTGAGCTGCTTTAGACATGCGTGTTTTTTCTTTCCAGAAACTTCAGCACTCTCAGGAAGGAGAACGTTTATGAGAACAACAAACTGGTGAGTGCCCCGTTCCTGCCTCAAAGCCAGCTCAGCTGGGTCTGCCCGCACCCCCAGCCCACGCCCAGGGGACTGTCTGCTGGGGCCCTGACTGGCTGGAGCCTTCCTCAGAGCAGCCTTGGGAGTTGTGCCATGGCAGATGTGCCCCACAGCCGCTCCACAGCCTGGTGACCCCAACTCCTGCTCTCGTCTTTCTCTGCACAGGTGTCAGGGGGCAGAGAGTGGCCGGGACTCCTGCCCAAGGGACAGCGGTGTCCAGAGGTGGCTCTGGGAGAGCAGGACCCCGGGTGGGTGTTGGAATGGGCTATTGGCCCTTCCCTGCCCTGTGGGGCCAGCTGCCCCTGCCCTGCCTGCTCAGCCCTGATGCCAGGCTGGCCTGGTTCAAGTCCTGCTGCCCAGTATGTTTCCATGATGCTGGATGAGCTCCGTTAGTGCAGGTGCTGGTGCACAGAAAGGTGGATGCAGCCCTTCCCTGGACCAGCTGTCTAGTGGGGAACAGACAGCACAGGCCCTGCTCAGCATGCGGGCGCGTGAATTTAAACTTAGGGTGAAATGAAATGACACATTCACTCCACAGCTGCACTGGCCACATTTCACACCCTCACTAGCCACACATGGACAGCTTGGAATAGAGCATGTCGGTTGTCACAAGAGCTCTGACTGCGGGAATGAGCACATGAAGCAGTGGGGGTGGGGGGTGCCTGAGGCCCCACCAGGGGAGGCCTGGCCAGTAGCGGTGCAGGTGGACATGGGAGAGGGTGTGCCTGGTGGGGGTCCTGCTGGGCAGGCAGCTGAGTCTGGAGGGCACCTGGCCAGGAGGAGGAGCAGAGCAGGGAGGCAGGGGTAGGCAGCTTTGGGGGACCTGGCTTCTGTGAAGGGTGCTGTGCTGAGAGCCACTCCTGGCCCCTGGGACCTGTGGAGAGTGTGGGGGCGACGAGGGGGCAGCAATGGGGCTCAGGTTCTGGACGTATTTTGAGGAGGCAGTTGGAGACCTTTGGTCTGGCGGGACAGTCGCTGCTGTGGGCTGCAGGTCTGGGAGACCTAGGAGTCCCATTTTGGACAGATGAAGATTGGGGTGTCACTGTCAGATACCCATGTGAGGGGCAGGCAGGCAGTTTAGGGAAGTCAGCAGAGATTGGGAGCCATCAGGTGAGGTGGGTAGTTTCTAGGCAGGAAACTGGCCGGGGTGGTGGAGGGGAGTGAGGAGGGGCAGAGCCCCACATCCCACTGTGCTGGCGGGCCAAGGGTTGCGGGGAGGGCCGGGGTCTCCACCCCCTGCCCCTCGTTGCCCAGTGCACATCCCTGTCTCAGCCTGGAAGCTGCGTACCCCTGGCTCTGGCTCCCGGACATAGGTGTCCTTGGGGAGGGCCACCCTGTGGGAAAGCTGCTCCCGACCACATAAGGTTAGGTGTAGGGGTGTGGGGGTGCTCCAGGGGGACCTGAGAGTAATATGGGACCAAAGGCCCTATAGCAAACAGCCCAAGACAGGGCAGGGTCCCCTTGGGTTCCAGCACGGCCCTGCTGCTGTTTTCTGGAGCCCACCGGGACCACTCCCGGCCTCTCCGATCCTGCAGGGTCAGGGTACGACCTCCTTTGCACAGACTGGTGAACTGAGGCCCAGGCGATCACCAAGGCCGAGCAGATACCTTCCTGGGCTCCGAGCAGTTTCTTGTCCCTGGCCCCTCTGGGAGGAGCTGGTGGCCTGGCCCAGGAGAGAAGGGGCCTCTCATCCCACCCCTGCTGACCACCCCCCTCTGCCAGGCTTTCCATGTGGCCGAGGAGCAGTTGGGCATCCCAGCCCTGCTGGACGCTGAGGACATGGTGGCCCTGAAGGTGCCCGACCGGCTGAGCATCCTGACCTATGTGTCTCAGTACTACAACTATTTCCATGGACGCTCCCCCAGTGAGTCCAGGGCTGGGAGCCAGGCATTTGCCATGCCACCTGGAGTCCCCCAGCCACGCTGTGGCCCCCCACACTCCCAGCATGTCTCCCGCCCTGCCTGTCACCTGCTCCCTTCCAGGGGCTGCCCCTTCCTCTGGGCCCAGGCTCAGCCCCACGGCTCAGCACCCAGCATTGCCAGATGGGCAGGCCTTCAACTTGTGGAGTGGGCAGGAAGGCGTTTCTGTGGCCACTGTCTGGAGCTCCCAGCACTGCAGCCTCTGCCCAGGGGTCCATGCCAGCCCCCAGCCCCCTCTGCCATCTGCCCCCTGAACAGCTGCCCCAGCCCCGCCCCTCCTGCCTCTCTGGCCTCAGTCGCTTGTGCACCCCTGGGGGTGCCCACAGCTCTTGCTCAGGTGGCTTGGCAGACCCCGTGTGGGCTCCCAGGCCTGTCCAGATGCCCCCTCCCCAGTTTGGTCCTGACCTCGGGCCTGCAGTGAGGCCTCTGGCAGGGCAGGGCTGGGCAGGGCAGCCCAGAGGTTTTATTCTAGCTTCTTTGTACACCACGGCTCAGCACCCTTCCTCCCTCCCCCCACATTCCTCTCCAGGCCTTAGAAATCCCCGGAATTGCTGTGGGCACAAGGCCAGCCCCGCCTTTATATTCCTACTTGTGGAGACACAGAAAAGTCCCTTTTCCCTGACCTCAGATGGGGGTTCAGAGCAGGACGGGAGGGGCGCAGGGGAGGCCGGGCCTGCCGGGAACTTGCTTGCTGCTTACTCGGTTGCTCCTCCCTGGCCCCCCTGACAGCGGGAGCTGCCCTCCCACGCGGCTCCAGGCCCCGTGCTGGGCTCTGGACCTCTAGGGAACCAAGACCAGGGGTGACCCTGGGTGTTTTCAGAGCCAGTGCACAGGGCTGGCCTGGGTCCCCTGACCTTGTGTGTGTCTCCTACCAGTTGGGGGCATGGCTGGTGTGAAGAGGCCCCCATCAGACTCCGAAGAGGAACCGTCTGGGAAGAAGGTCCTGCCCCAGCCGGCCAGGCCCTTGCCCACCCCGGCCCGGGGGCAGCCACTGTCTCCAGTCAGCACAAACCCCACTGTCCAGCAGAAGGATAGAGGTGCAGAGGGCCACACACTGAAGGCTGTAAGCCCCCAGCCCTGCCCTCCCCCTGGTTCTTGGGTTTCCATCAGCTCAGAGCAGGGCTTGCAGGCCAGAGTGGGACCCCTAAACCACAGGGCCTAGGATGGGGTGGGGTCCCTTTGGGTCCTGGGCATGGCCTCTGCTGCTGTTTATTGAGGCCCACCGGGACAGGCTTTCTGAGCTTTTCCAACCCTGCAGGGTTGGAATATGACGCCATTGTACAGACGGGTAAACTGAGGCCCAGGGAGGTTGCACAGGCCAGGAAGACCTTTCTGGGCTCCACATGGGTTTCCTGCCTCCAGGTGGGGCCAGGGAAGAAGGCTGGTGTGTGCTTTACTCCCAGGCCAGTCCTGCAAGCTGAGGGGGGGTATCCCCACTTTTCCAAGAAGGTGGAGACTGAGGACTGGGTGCTAGCCTGTGGGTGGGTACTCCCTTCTGTCCCCAGGTGGTCACGCCAGGCTCCAGGAGCTGGAGCCACACATGACTCCTGGACTCTGGGAACTGGGTTGATTTCTGTGCCTCTGGGAGGGAACAGCAGGTGATGGAGTCTGCCCGTGGTCCCCTGAGACCCTGAGTCAGTCCCCAGCCCCTTCCCTTGGAGCCCAGCTGCCCTGTGGACTCGTTCCCAGCTCTGTAGCACAGATCTTACCCACAGAAGGCAGCCATGGGGGCTGGGCAGATGACGTGTCTCGGCCCCTGATGGGGCTGAGAAGTGTCGATGGGCTCTCCCCACAGGGCCAGGCCTCAGCAAGCAGCGCCTGTGGGGTGTGTGGCCAGCACGTGCATCTCGTGCAGAGGCACCTGGCTGCGGGGACCCTATACCACCGGAGCTGCTTCAGGTGGGTCCCAACTGGCACGAGCGCCTGCTGAGTGTCAGTGCCCCAGCGAGGTCCTCGGTGGCCTGTGACTTCTGTGAGTCCAGGCCTGCACACGTGGACATGGGAACACGTAGTGCACACTCCTGGGAAACCCTGGTGCTCCCTCACGGGCCCTCTGCCCCCCAGGTGTAAGCAGTGCTCCAGCACGCTGCAACCGGGCGCCTACCGGGCCACCGAGGAGCCGGGCGTCTTCGTCTGTTCCAGCCACCACCCCACAGCTGCCTCTGCAAGCTCCACATCACCAGGCCTGGCCCCCAGGGGACCAGGAGCCATCCCCACAGACTCCCAGCCCCCCAGTGCCCCACGGGAGCCGCAGGAGGTGAATGGGCAGAGACATGCAGGATCAAAGGACAGCCCAGAGGCCTGGGTGCCTGTGGTGAGCCACTCAGCTGCCAAAGGCCGCCTTCCAGCTGTAGCAGGCCCTGCGGCCAGCACCCCCGCACACACCCACATGGGAAACCTTGCCCGGCCCAGGTTCCCAGCAGGCCCTGTGGGTGGCAAAACCGGCACCCGCGTGACCAACAGCTCCCCGGCAGGGTGGGCGTCGCCGGCACAGGACACAGCGGCGGTCAGTCCCCATCCCGCCATGACCCCGAGTGCCTTGGACCCTCGCCCCACCATGCCACAAGGCCGGGTGACCCCCCAAAGGGCAGACCCCCAGGTCAAGCTCTGTTGGAGCCCAGCATCTCCAAGTCCAGCAGCTGCCCCAGCCTGGACTCCGTCAGCCACTAGGACGCAGCAGGCCCAGGAGAGGTTCTTCCAGACACCTGGAGCTGCCACCAGCCCTGGCCAGGTGCCCGCTCCAGCTGGTGTGCCCTCTCGGGACCGCAGCAGGGAGCAGGCGCTGAGCTTCCTGCAGAAGGCCCTCCCGGCGCTCGGGGAAGCTGGTGCTCAGGTGCCTGGCAGGTGGGTGGGGAGTAGGAGCTGCAGGGTGGCCCCTGCCTGGCTGGGTGATGGTGCGCTGTGCTGCCCCCAGCCTCAGTTTCTTCTTTTAGGGAACAGGGAGAATGAGATGGGACCCAGAGTGCCTGGTCAGGGGGAGGGGCACAGTCATTCTGTGAGGCCACCTTTGTCCGCTCGGGGACTGCCATCAGCACACAGTCCTGTCTGGAGGTCCTCCAGGCTGAGGTCCTGTCAGCAGGTCTGACTCCAGCCACCCCTGCCCATGTCCCAGTGCCTGTCCAGCGGACACAGAGCAGACAGACAGGGTGAAGGAGGGCCACTGTGTCAGTGTCCTGGGGCTGCCAGGCACAGCTCCACAGCCCAGGGGCACACAGACATCTACTCCCTCTTGGTTCTGGAGGCTGGAAGTCAGGGTGTGGTCAGGGACACCCTCCTAGGGCTCTGGGGGGCTCCTTCCACCTCTCCCAGCTCCTGGAGACCTCGGGGGTCCCTTGGCTTGTGGTTCCGTCACAAGCCCTCCCTCCACCTTCCTTCCATTGCCACTGGCCATCTCCTCCCTATGTCTCTGGGTCCCCTCCTTCTCTGTCTCTTACAGGGACATCCGTCATTGGTTTAGGGCCGCCCTAATCAGGGTGACCTCATCTTAGCTTGGTCATGCCTGCAAAAACCCTATTTCCAAATAAGGTCACACTCCGAGCTTCCTAGTGGACATGGATTTGGGGGGACACCTCTCGCCTCACTGCGGTCGTCTAGTGTGTAAGGAGGCCCCACAGCTGGCTGGCTGGCAGTGCTGTGCCTACCTTATGTACCCACCCCTTATTTTGGGGGAGCATTCCTGGCTCAGAGCACCTCCATCCCCATGGGAGAGCAAGCCTGCACTGCCCTCCAGTGCTGGGGTGTCCTGGGTGCCTGGGGGCCCCCTTGGGAGGTCTTCTGGGGGTGTCTGGCTGGGACAGGGCCTGACTCCTGGGAACCCAGCCTGGTCCCCACAGGAGCAACAGGGGGAGAGGAGGCTTGCATGGTAGGGGGCCCAATGCTGCTGTGGTCTAGGGAGAGCATCCCCACCCTGGGCCCACTGGGTGCTGGCTGGCCCATGGCTCTGGCCAGGTAGGTGGAAGGAGGGCATGGGGTGCAGACTTACCTGCACACTGTGTCCTGGGTTTTTAAATCTCTGCCCACACCGGAGTTGAACATGAGGGTGAGATATCAGGCACTGACCAGGGCCAGAGGTGGATGCCTCAGAGGGCTGTCCCTCTCCCTTAGGAGGATGGCATTGGGAACCAGCTACCAGGGGAGGCCGAGGGGCTTCTGCCTGATCCATACTGGGAGGGGCTTCTGGATTCGCTCGTGCCCTGATGCCTGACTTTCACCTGCAGGCCTGCCCGAGCTGCCTCTCCTGCTCTGAATCCCCATACCAGGACTGAGGGGCCGCGAGCCAGTCCATCAGCCAAGCTGTTGCCCCTGGCATTTCCCCGAGCCCTTAGCCCCCCTGCAAGGACTGAGCTGCCGGCCCCCCTAACTGTGGGTACCAACTCAGGGGCATCCACGCCACCCCAGGCAGGCAGGAAGAACTCACCCGTGTCCTCAGTGGCTGTCAGGGAAGGTGCTGGCTCCAGGCTGCAGCCGGAGGCCCCACTGGCAAAGGGTAAGTGAGAGCCCCTTTGTCGGGGGCCAGTGGGGGATTATGGAGTCTGCAGCCCCACGGTGTTGCAGTGCCCAGGCTCCTGCTGGTGGAGCACTCTGCTGCCCCGGCCTGCGGTTCTGGACCATTGGCTGTTCCTCAGTCTGGCTCTGGGGACCCTGCCCCTGGGGCCTGCTGTCTCAGCCACACTGCCTTGGAGCTTCTCCTTGCCCAGGCTGCCTGGCTCCTGAGGGTGGCAGGTCCCTCAGGGCTATGCTCGCCCTGCCCCCTGCCCCAGCCTGCACTTGCCAGGTGCTCTGTGGTCCATCCCTCTGTGTCAGTGTTCTTGGTGACAGTTACTGCTCTCTGGAGTTTCCCCATCTCAGTGGCCCCTTCTCCTGGGGCTTTGACCCTCTGTTCCTGCATGTGTCTGTCCTTACTTTCCTGTCCTGACTATGAGCTGCTTGCCCTGAGGGTCCTGGGCCACACGTGGCTGTTTCGTGGCCTCATGCTCCCGGGGCTGTCAGGTTCGCTTTCTCTGGGCACCCGGGTGTTTCCTAGGGGTGGCGTTCCTGAGCTGGGCTCAGAGAACACACCTCACAAAGCTTCCCTCCTTTCTGTGGGCTGAGTCCCTACGAGAAATCCACTCTGCTCTGCACCGGGAGGCCTGCAGAGAGGCTGCCATGGCTCAGCCATTCATCAAACAGGGTCCATGGGGCTCACCCAGCCACACCCTCCCCCATTTGGCAGCAGGGAAGGTTGAGGCCAGGGAGGGAGGTGATTGCTCCAGGCACACACAGCACAAGTGGCCTGGCTGGATGTCCTGGCCCAGCTCCTAACCAGAGCTCCCAGTCAGAGTGGGGTGTCTGGGCAGGACAGCAGCTGGAAGAAGTCCAGCCTTCCCAGGAGACCCCCCACTCCTGCGGAAACCCCTCATGGGACCTGCCTCCCTGCCTCCACGCAGGCCCGAGTGCCAGCCCCCGGGAAGGCCAGGAGGACGGGCCTGCAGGATGGAGGGCCCGCCTGAAGCCTGTGGAGCAGAAGAGCCCAGCTGAGAGGTGAGGGGGGTGTTCTGGGGGGCTCAGGCTGCCTGGACCCACCCTGGGTTTGTGCTCACAGGAGCTGAGCAGAGCATATGCCTGGGGCTAGCACAGGCCCTGCACACAGGGTGCTCAGCAGATGCCGGCAGGGGCCTGGCAGCTCACACGGACTGGTGGCTGCTCCCCAATCAGAGATGTGCGCACACCTGCTTGTATGTGCCAGTCATGCTAGCAGAGCCAGCTCATACCTGCCTGTGACACGGCCACGTGCCCATCGTGTAACTGGAAACTGGGAGGGTGGCCGTGTGGGGAGGGTTCCTCGGGGCCCCTGGGATCCTCAGGCCACTGAACTGGCCTCAGTGGCCAAGGAGGTGAAAGCCCATAGGCTGGAGCATGCCCACCAGGCTGGACCCCCACATGGTGGCTTCAAGGCAGGGGCAGCTCCCCACAGAAAACCGGATAGGATCAGAGGGAGAGAGGCTCTGTGGCCTAACCACACTAGCCTCCTGGTCTCTGGCACACTGGGCTGCAGGGCTCTGCATACTTGGGGGCCTGAACACAGGCTGGGTGTCTGCCCACATGTGAACCTGAGCACATGCCCACACCATGGAGGCGGGTGCATGCATAAACCTGCACCTGTGCTCCAGGGGTGTCACAGATTGTCAGGGATGTGGGCCCCAGGTGCACCATGAGGTCCTCCTGTTCTTCAGTTGGTGTGCTTCCCTCAGGCCTGTCTGCACAGGGCCATGGGGGCAGCCCGACCCTCCCCTGGCTGACCTGCCTTCCCTCCAGGGCCCTGGGCCTAAAGGAGCCACGGGTCCCCAGAGAGCAGAGGGCAGGCAACACACCCCAGAAGGCCTCGAGAAGCTCTGAAGAGGGCATCCGCATCACCCTGACTCCTCTGCAGCCAGACAGGACACTGAGCGCCGGACCCAGCCCCTCAGGTATTGCTGGGCAGATGCCGAGGGGCTCCTGATGCCCACCTGGCCCAGCCCAGCCAGGAAACACAGGTCTGGGTGGGCTCCTCCTCTGGGGACAGCTGTCTGGGCATGCGGAGACGGTGGCCCTGCTCAGCTGGTGGCCCTGGTGACAGTGTGGGCATGCACCAGTTTTGTGTGTACATGTGTCTTCCCAGAATGCTCAGCTGCTCCTGGGCCCATGTCCAGCCCCATGTCACTTCCTGTGTGACCTTGAGCAGCCCACCAGCCCACTGGGCCTATTCCCCTGCCCCAACCATGCTGTTTTAAGGGTCAGGATTCTGCCATCCGTGGGTAGGCGTGAGCAACAGGGCTGGAGAGCTGACCCCTGTGTTGACTGGGGAGGGCCTGTGGTGTCTGTGTTTGGTGGGCCCCACCCGGGCCTGGTGCCTTGACCCTGCTCTGTCTTCTGCCCACCAGCAGCCTCATCCCCCTCCCCGTCATGCCACCGCAGGAAGCTGGCCGTCCCTGATAGCCTGGCCAGCTCTGGAGACTGGCTAACACCCAAGCCATCTGGGCAGGAAGCCCCAGCCCAGAGCTGGGAGGAGAAGCCCCCTGCTCAGGGCAAACCAGGTCAGCTCAAAGATGCCCACCCCTGTCTCTGGGGTGAAGAGCGCTCTGCAGAGGGGAAGGCGTCTGGTGGGGACTCGGGGGTGACTAGGAGCTCAGTGGTCCCAGAATAGGGGGAAGGGCATGCCGGAGGAGCATCAGCCCTACATATGCTTGGAGCAGGGCCAGGAGACCTGGAGGATCCACAGGGAGGGCTGGGAGGCCTGCACAGAGGCCCTGGCTCCTCCTAGTGCCTGGTTCACAGATAGCTGAACAGTGGGGCATCTGCTCTGGGCAGCCTGCAGATGAAGGCCAGGGTGCTGGGCGGGTGTCCGGTGCTGCCGACTTGGAGGAGGGCAGGGCCAGGGGTCATGGGGATGGGGCCTGGGTCTGTCTGTGGACTCTCCCACTTTGGGCACCAGCCAGGTGCTGCCTGGGAAGCCTGGAGGCAGGGGTACCCCAAGGAGGCGGGGCTGGGTTGTCAGGCTTGGGGCCCCTGGTCCAGGAGGCTCCACTTGCCCTTTTCCAGGGAGGCCCTTGGGCTCGGCCAGTGTCCCTGCTTACCCTGGCCAGGCAGCAGCCGCTCCAGTCACGGTGAGTAGGCCAGGGAGTCACCCGGCACGGAGCTCCACCCCCTGGGGCGTGGCCAGTGCCCACACCACCCCTCACCACCGCCCTGTCCCCAGTGGCACCCCGACTTCGTGCCCCCTGAGGAGATCCAGAGGGAGGTGCAGAACATCGAGAGGCAGCTGGACTCCCTAGAGCTCCGGGGCGTGGAGCTGGAGAAGCGCCTGCGGGCCGCCGAGGGGGGTGAGCCATGAACCCCCACCCCCAGGCCGTGCCTGAGCCCTGATCTCAGCCCGCCTGGCCCTTAGCACGCCTGATACTGCTGCCCTGTTCTGCAGATGCCTCCGAGGACGCCCTCATGGTGGACTGGTTCCGGCTCATCTATGAGAAGCAGCTGCTGCTCCGGCTGGAGTCAGAGCTGATGTACAGGTGGGCCCTGCATGCCGCCCCCCTCAGCAGGCTGGGTCAGCCAGCGGGCCCGGCCTCACATGCCTGCATCTCCTCGGCAGGGCCAGGGACCAGCGCCTGGAGGAACAGCAGCTGGACATCGCAGGGGAGCTGCGCCGGCTGATGGCCAAGCCTGGTGTGCCAGCCTGCCCATGGGGAGCGCAGGCTGGTGGGGAAGGGGCTTTCAGCCCCAGGAGTGGGCATGGGTGCAGGCTTGCTGAGGCCTCTCTGAGGCTGCCTGCAGTGGGCACCCTGGAGAAGCCAGGGTATGGGTGGTGGCATGGCCCACTCTGGAGCCCAGGGTGGGCTCTTACCTCCTCCACTTCCTGGCTATGTCATCAGCCTAGTCACTCCACCTCTCTGGGTCTGGGTTCATGCCCTGAAAAGTGGGGACAATACCCTCTCCTGCCGCCTCAGTGGCTGTGAGCATTGCAGGGTTGATAGGCGTAGAGCCCAGTGGTGAGTGCTGGTGAGTGAGGGGGGCTGTGGGTGATGCAGCTGAGCACCCTGGGAGGGGGCCGAGTGGCCCCCACTGCCCCTCCTTGCTGTGGGTGGGGGCAGCAGTACCTAGTCCTCCATTTGCACATCTTTGCAACAGGCAGATTTTGTGAGGATGGGTGAGGTGGCCTGGCAAGGGCTGGCGGTCCTCTGCGTCTGAACAGCTCTCCTGTACCCAACCCTCTGTTCACTCACCCATTCAACCACTCAGGGAATGGCAGCCCAACGCCCACTGCAGGCCAGCAGACACCCCAGATGGCCCTGGGGCTCTGCCCCCTCCAGTGGAGGAGTTGAGCTTCGAGGTGTGGGGACCCTTCCCTGAGCAGGGTGGCCCAGCAGGCTCCTGCTGATGGCAGGCTGTCCCCACAGAGGGTCTGAAGTCACCCCAGGACTGGCGGCGGGAGCAGGAGCTGCTGAACCAGTACGTGAGCACCGTGAACCACCGCAGTGACATCGTGGACTCCCTAGATGAGGACCGGCTCAGGTGCGGGTGGGGTGGGGCTGTCCCTCTGCTCAGAGCCCTCCCCAGCTGGCCTGCAGGGTGGATGATACCCACCATGTGCCTTTAGCCCCAGCAGCCTGTCCCACTCTGGACCCTCAGGGTCAGCCCTGGCTGATGGACCTTTTTGAAACGATGGATGGTTCTAGAAACCGTCATTCCCTGTGGCAGTCACACGTGGCTTGCAGGCACTTGCAACATGGCCTGTGCAATAGACAGGATTTTACGTTCTGTTTTTGAGATACACATAGCCACGTGTGTCTCCTGGTGCCGCACTGGGCTGCCAGCTTTGTGACCCTTCCCACAGAGCTGTCCTGTCCCCATGTTTAGATAAGGGACCTGCCCAGCAGGGAGAGGGTGGGGACCCAGGTGTCACTTGGCTCAGGGCCCAGGTGTAAGAAGGACCAAGATGAACCCATGCACCGCCCCCGAGGCAGGCTGCCCCTCACGGCCACGCCGTTCCTGTTTCAGGGAGCTGGAGGAAGACGAGATGCTGCAAAACATGATCCAGAATCTGGGTAACTGGGGGAGCTGGCCGGCGCCGGAGGGCTTGGGGCTCCTGGGGCAGAGGGAGCTGGGACCTTTGTGGCTGCTCCAGCCCCAGAACAGGAAGGATCTCCCTGGGGGGCAAACTCCTTGTCCCTCAAGGGAGCTGAGAAGTGTGGGGGACCATGTCAGGGTGAGGGCCATGCCTGGCAGGACCTTGCCCTTCAGGGGTGCCCAGTCTGGTGGATGTCCTGAAAGTAAACCTATGGGGCAGGCGGAGGGCTGGGCTTCTGCCAGCCTGGCCTGCAGGATCTGGGACCCCAGGGGGTGCTCTGAGGGGACAGAAAGGGCATTCCTGTGGGGGCTGTGGCCGAGAGGCGGGCAATGTCCTGAGTGCCCATTTCCCCAGCCCTGCAGAGAAGCAGCGGGGACGCGAGAAAGAAGCCCAGGTTCCGCCTGCCCAGGATCTGGTCCCTGAAGAGCAAAGGCGGGCTTCCTGAGTGAGCGGCCTGGCCCGGCTTCAGGACCCTCGCTGTGGCCTCAGCAGGGTGTGCACCGGGAGGGCGGGCCTGCGGGCAGCAGGAACTTGCAGCGCCCTCCCTGTGGGGTCTGAGCAGCCTCAATAAAGAGACTGACCACAGAGCTGGGCTCCCTTTCCCATTCGCCCACGGGCTCCTGGGTGGCCAGGCGCCTGGCCCAGAGGTCTCAGCTGATCTCCCAGTCTGCACCATGTGAATATGCTGTGGCCTTGAGCAGGTGCTGACCCTCTCCAGGCCTGGCCCAGGCCCTTTGATTTGGGCATTTTAGTGGCTTCCTGAGCTGGCTGTGGGGACAGAGCCAGGTCTATGCAAGGTGCACTCAGAGCTGGCACCCCAGGAGCTCCAAGCTCAAGATCTGTAACCCTGGCCTTTGGGGAGGGGCTGGCTGGGCCCTGGGATGGAGGAGTATAATGGCTGAGCCCCTGGTGTCCAGCAAGGGAGTGGGCTTGCCGCCCTCCCTGACTTCTGGGGACACAGTTGGGGTGGAGAAGGAAGGGGGGTAGCACCTCCTGGCAGCACAGACCTGGGTCCTCGCCCAGTGCTGCCCCTACTCCAAGGTAACCTGGAGAACCAGTTCCCCTTCGGGCCTCAGTGTCCCTGTATGTGTGAGGTGTGGGCTGTGGCTCTGTCTTCCTGTGCTGTCTTGAGCCACTGTGGGAGCCCATCAAGGTGGTGCCAGTGCACCCACATCACTTGTGGGGTACCAACCCCCAGCTGGTACCAGGCAGGATGAGACCCTGTGGGTCCCAGCCAGGACTGAGCCAGAGACCCAGCTAAGTGCCTGGGGTCTCATGGAGGTCTTACCACATCTGCTGCCGGAGGGTCCCAGACAGGGCTCTGGGGACTTGGGGTCAGGGTGTGAGATGGGGCAGAAGGGGCTTCAGTCACAGAGCTGCTCAGCTCCGGCCTTGGGCCAGCGCACCACCCCTCTGAGCCTTTGGGGACCAGTGGGCTGCATGTGATGTGAGGCTGGACCAGCACTGTTGGAGGGGCTCAGAGACGGGCCTGCGGGCAGCAGGAACTTGCAGCGCCCTCCCTGTGGGGTCTGAGCAGCCTCAATAAAGAGACTGACCACAGAGCTGGGCTCCCTTTCCCATTCGCCCACGGGCTCCTGGGTGGCCAGGCGCCTGGCCCAGAGGTCTCAGCTGATCTCCCAGTCTGCACCATGTGAATATGCTGTGGCCTTGAGCAGGTGCTGACCCTCTCCAGGCCTGGCCCAGGCCCTTTGATTTGGGCATTTTAGTGGCTTCCTGAGCTGGCTGTGGGGACAGAGCCAGGTCTATGCAAGGTGCACTCAGAGCTGGCACCCCAGGAGCTCCAAGCTCAAGATCTGTAACCCTGGCCTTTGGGGAGGGGCTGGCTGGGCCCTGGGATGGAGGAGTATAATGGCTGAGCCCCTGGTGTCCAGCAAGGGAGTGGGCTTGCCGCCCTCCCTGACTTCTGGGGACACAGTTGGGGTGGAGAAGGAAGGGGGGTAGCACCTCCTGGCAGCACAGACCTGGGTCCTCGCCCAGTGCTGCCCCTACTCCAAGGTAACCTGGAGAACCAGTTCCCCTTCGGGCCTCAGTGTCCCTGTATGTGTGAGGTGTGGGCTGTGGCTCTGTCTTCCTGTGCTGTCTTGAGCCACTGTGGGAGCCCATCAAGGTGGTGCCAGTGCACCCACATCACTTGTGGGGTACCAACCCCCAGCTGGTACCAGGCAGGATGAGACCCTGTGGGTCCCAGCCAGGACTGAGCCAGAGACCCAGCTAAGTGCCTGGGGTCTCATGGAGGTCTTACCACATCTGCTGCCGGAGGGTCCCAGACAGGGCTCTGGGGACTTGGGGTCAGGGTGTGAGATGGGGCAGAAGGGGCTTCAGTCACAGAGCTGCTCAGCTCCGGCCTTGGGCCAGCGCACCACCCCTCTGAGCCTTTGGGGACCAGTGGGCTGCATGTGATGTGAGGCTGGACCAGCACTGTTGGAGGGGCTCAGAGACCCCTGCTTGCCCTCGGGTCACAGCAGGCCCCCCACGAGGCTGGAGAGGAGGCTGGTAGACAGGTAATGAGCAGACAATACGCTCAGTGAGGCCTGGGCCACGCAGAGACTTGGCCAGCCGAGCAGCTGGGCCTCGTTGCTCCGCGCTGGGTGCCATGAGTGACTCTGAGCAGAGGTGCTAGGTGAGGCCTGCATGTTAGGAGGGTGGGGGCGGCTGTCACAGGGCCTGTCTGGCACTCTGGCCTTGAGACCTGGGCCGCACGCTGCTCTCAGAGGCATGGCCCATCCTGGAGTGCAGCAGTGTGGCCTCGTCACCACCAGGGGGAGGCAGAAGCCAGGAGCTCCATTTACTGACAAGGAAACAGGCTCAGAGAGGCCATGCAACTCCCTGAAACCACACAGCAGGTTAGCTGGGGCCTGGCCCCACCTCCAGGTGATCCTGGGACCCCTGGGTGAGCTAGAGTATATTCAGGATCTTTAATACAGGGCAGGGAAGGGTTCCAGAGGGGATTCACACCAGTGGTTGGGGGGCTCACGTACACCCTGAGGGGGCCTCGGGCTGTGTGGCCAGGGAAATTTGGGGCCTTAGTACCCAGAGCATGGTGTGGACAGTGGAAGTGAGCTCTCTGTGCGTGCATCCCCTTGGCCCAGCAGGCCCCTAGCCCTACCGAGTGTGTATTGTAGACCTCAATGCTCTGTGCACTGCCTCTTGCGGACCAGGACCTCCCTCCCCTTGGGGCTGCCTCAGCTCCACTCACCCACTAGTATGGAGCTCCCACTCCGGGGCTCTCCTACCCTGGGCTCCCGCCCTGCCTCCCTGGGGACCCTCCAGCAGAGGCCACTGCCCAGGTGGCTGTGGCTAGTCTGGTGGGCCTGCCTGTCTGCCCGTCACCCTCCCATCCCAGGGTGGAGCTTCAGCTTCTGCACTAACGAGGGGTCCCAGGCGGGCTGGAGACACTGATGAAGATGGATGGCGTGAACGCCAGCCCGTTGTGTTGTTCATACAGAGTATCACACCCACGTCTTTAATCTGCAGACGGCCTGACACCTCACAAAGTACATCAGGATGTGATCCAATTGAAGCTGCAATGTTGAGAACATTTTATCACAAATTGAAATTATATCGTATTCCTTTTTTCTTAAATTAAAAAGCTAAAACCTTTTCGTTTGCTCTCACACGGTTGTGTAAAACTTAATCAGTGATTTTAACAACATTATATTTCCACATGGGCCATTTCTATTCTCATTTATCTACAAGGGAGAACTTTCTGAAAGGGGTGATGGGGTTTGTGAGTGGAGACTTCGGGCCCTGGGGCTGGTGCGAGCTTGGTGGACATGCCTCCTCCACACGTGTGGGTGGCTGGGGCGGGGTCCAAGGCTCCAAAAGGACAGACAGTGGTGTCAGCGTCTGTGTCCCAGTAGGTGGGGATGGGTATTGGGGGTTTCTGAGTGTCCTGGGGCAACTGGGACCCAGCATAAAGGGGGCTTCAAAAGACCAATGCTACCCTCTCCCAGTTCTGGCAGGCTGAGCCCCAGGGGTCTCAGGTCTAGGCTCTCCCCAAGGGCTCTAGGGAGGGTCCTGCCTGCCTCCTACAGCTCCTGGTGGCTGCAGGATCCTGGCCACTCCTTGGCTTGTGGCCACATCCCTCCATCTCCACCTCCGTCCTCATGAGCTTTGCCCTGCTTGTCTGTGTCCAGTTTCCCGTTGTTATAAGGACACCAGCCCCTGGAAAGTGGCCCGTGGCCTGCCCAACTCCAGTGTGACCTCATCCTAACCCATTACATCTGCCAAGTCCCTGTTTCCTAATAAGGCTATGTTCACAGGTTCCAAGGGTTAGAGCTTCAGCACATCTTTTTGGAGACATGATTCACCCCCTCATGGGGTAATCAGCAGGCTCACCAAGGCCAAATGTCTCATGTCAGGCATGGGACCCACCTGAGCACCGCCCTGACAGGTGAGCCAAAGATGCTGTAAGATTCAGTCGTTCGCTCAGGGCTGGTGGGGGAGTCCAGTGGTGAGGGCGGCCCATGTTCACAGCTGTGCTCCGGCCAGGCTGTTGCAGGGTGAGGGGCAGCTGCCCAGCCACATACCCAGAGACCTGTTTCTACCCTCTGCCCCCACAGCCTTCCCACCTACCTTTGTTGCAACCCAACTGCCACTCACTTCCAGGGCCCTGGGGGTGCATCATGGCAAATAGCTGCTATTCCACATTTTGTTCAGATGCCCCCCAGAACCGTGGTCTTAGGAAAGAAGCCCCCTCCCCAACCCTAGAGAATGAATCATTCTCAGTACAAGCCAATCATGGCCATTCTCATCCCTGATGTAGAAACCACTAGGAGGGCATACCTTTGCTGGATGTCATACCCACCTGGGATGTGTGGTGCTGCAGCAGCCACTCTGTGACCATGGGAATATGGCACCATTGTCAAAGATGGCAGGGCAGAAACACTGAAGATACCTGGGCCTTTGATGACATCATTGACCCACTGAATCTGCCAGTCCTAAAACTCCCTATTTCTGGATTTTTTGTCTTACAATATGTGAGGTTCCATAAGGCTTCCCTAACAAAGTACCACAAACTTTGTGGCCTAAAACAACAGAAATACATTTCTCACAGCTCTGGAAGCTAGAAGTCAAATCAAGGTGTCAGCAGGGCTGCTTCTGAGGCTGTGAGGGAGAGTCTGCCCCAGGCCTGTCCCCCTGCTTCTGGTGGCTGCAGGTTGTCCTTACTGTGCCTGGGCTAGTGCTGGGCCACTCCATTGTGACATGGCCCTTCTATCTGTGTGCGTATCTGTGTCCAAATGCCCCTTTTAAATAAAGACACTGGTCATATTGGATTAGGACCCACTCTAATGGTATCTAAACTTGATCATCTGCAAAGAACCTATTTCCAAATAAAGTCACATTCTGAGGTTCTGGGTGGACATGAAGCTTTGGGGGGCATGATTCAACCCAGTACATGGGATAATAATCCCCCTTTGTTTAAGCTTTCGCTTTGGTTTTCTGGTATTTGTAGATCAAAGTGTCCTAACTGACAGGGAATTTGACTCCAGGGCTGGAGGAGAGAGAAGTAACATAAACTCAGATGCGGAACTGTGTGAGCAGCACGGGCAGAGGGCCCCGTCTTCCTGGTGAGGTTGGTCACCATGATGGACGCATGTAAGATTAGGTCCAGCTGTTACCGGAGTACCTTGGGCCCCAGACCATGAATTCATCAAGGCCGGGAAAATAGGAAAATATTCAGAACATCAGCATTAGTTGACGACCGCTGTGGCTTTCAGTAAAGTCTTACAAGAGAGATGAATCTGGGATGAAGGTAGCCAATCTGAAAATGAGAGGAAGGAAATTAGGGATTTGCTGAAAGCATTTCTGTCTAAAGCAGACATCTAAACTGATCAAGCATTCCATGAGTTGAAGCTTTGCTGTGATGGGAAAGCCAATTCTTACATCAAAGCTAAAGCTCTTGTTAGTCATGGAAGTTTCTAGGCCTCCCTGCAAACATCCCACTGATACAACAATACAATTGTGTAAAAGGTACCACTCCCATCTTTGCTGGGTGCCACGGTGGGACTTGGGACTCATGGCACTGCAGCAGCCAGCGTGGGGCCATGAGGGAAGATAGGCTGCCAAGCAGAGCCTGGAGGAGCAGAAACAGGGAAGGCTCCCAGGCGTTTGTTGATGTCCTGCTGTTGCTGAGCCCTGAATGAGCCAATCTAGAACCTTACATGAAGACTTCTTGTTCTGAGGGACATTACCCCAGGGTTGCTGGGACTCCAACTTGCATGTTCTGACAGCCTAGTGAACGCGCATCTGTGTGGTGCAGCCCCATCTCCTCGCCCATCAGTGCTCCCACCAGGTGAGCTCCTTGGGGGAAGGACCCGCCTGACCACAGATCACACCCCCGAGCTGCCGTCCAGGTGTGCGGTCTCCTGCTGTGCCTCTCCCACGGGGTCTGTCAGGAGAACAGGCAGCAGTGACAGGGACACAGGGACACGTCGTCCTGCACTGT